TCACTTGGTATATCAACAATATCCCATGCATTGTTGTCCTCGAATGACCGAAGTTCCTCTCGTATGGCCTCTCTCCACTGATCAGCTTCTGGTCCATTCAGTGCTTCATAAAAATCTATTTGTTCGGCTTCTGAACAAGAATTAGTAGTACACATGTTACCAAACCCAAAAAGATCTGGTGGTCTTCGTGTTCTCTTATCTTCTTCTTATAATGCCGCTATATCTTGAATCTCACTAAGCGAGACATCTGCATCTGTGTTTGTGGTCATTGTATCATCATTACTGCCACTAGACGGATCAGTATATACAGATGTATGCGAATCTGAGTCATGGAGAGATTCATTCACTGAAGGCTCCCCCACTGAATCTCTGCCATCTTCAATTGTAGGAGATTCATGATCTTCAATTTCTACATCATTCTGTATCCATTCTGCTGTGTCTTCTTCAATCTTTTCTGATGATACTTTCTTTTCTTCCATCACTATTATATCTCTCTTAATAGTTATAATATTTGTTATAGGATCATATACACGATATCCCTTCACTGTCTCTGAAAATCCCACAAGAATGTTCATTTGGGCTTTCTTGTCCCATTTTAATCTTCTTTCTTTTGGTATGTGAACCATTACAGGGCTACCAAACAGACGAATATGACTTAAATCTGGTTTCTTCTGGTACCACACTTTATAGGGTGTCTTATTTCCCAAACTTGAAGTCACAGATCTATTCTTTAAGTATACTGCTGTATTAGCTGCTTCAGCCCAGAACTTCTTTTCTAGTTTTGCATCGAAAAGTAAACATCGTGCTTTCTCTACAATAGTTCTGTTGGCCCGTTCACTAACACCATTTTGCTCAGGTGTGTATGCAGTTGTCTTCTGGTGGATAATTCCCTCTTTGTGTAAGTAATTCTCCATCTCACTGCTACAAAACTCACCACCATTGTCTGTGCGCAATATTTTTATTTTCTGATTTTGCTGGTTTTCAGCCATTGCTTTAAAATTCTTGAATATATTGAAGACTTCATTCTTATATTTGAGGAAGTATATGAAAGTCATACGACTGTGATCGTCAATGAACAGGACAAAATATTGAGCACCACCTATGGACTTTGTCTCCATGGGACCACATACATCGGAATGTATTATCTGTAGTGTTTCTGTACTTATTTGTCCAACTTGAAGAAATGGTAACCTCATTTGTTTACCTTCACAACAGGTCACACATTTAGTCATTGTTATATCACTAGTATCCGGGTAAGACAATCCATCCACAATGCCATTCTTCATTTTATTCAAATCATTGCTGTTAATATGTGCTAACCGCCTGTGCCAAAGCTCTGCACTTGCTACAACAGGTGCTGCCAGCATACAATCTGCTATATTGATACTTAGCTTGTATACCCCATTTGTTGACATTGCTGTAGCCACCAATACATTCTTATTGTTACGAATGTAGCATTGGTTTTCTTCAAAAACAACCTTATTTCCGTTTTCGATTAGCGCGCTCACTGACAACAGGTTTGTTGTTAAGCTCGGTACACATAGCACATCTTTAACTATGATGTCGTAGTTATAGTTAGTTGATATCTGAACGTCTCCGGAACACAAAACTGGCACTTTAGTATTATTTGCGACGGTGATCTCGGATAAACACGGGGTAAAGTTAGCGTTTTTTATCCAGTTTTTGTTGGCCGTCATATGTGCACTTGCTCCACTATCTACGTACCACTCGTTCCTACTATATTTACCATTTAAGAATACCACACTAAAAGCATTTTTGATTGTTTGTTTTTCTGTAACAATGGACACTGGTTTCGGTAATGACCCGTTTGTTTACACTTGTAACAAGAAATGATCTTGTCACTCTTGTCACCTGTCACTCTGCTGGATGACATCGCGCCATTTTTGAATTTCTGTTTTTTGAAATTGTTTGCAGCGAATGCTGCGCCGCTGGAATCCACATCATTCTTTGAAACCTCCATATCAATCAACTTCGACTTTATTGCATCGGTGGTAATCTGCAGTCCCGAATGCTCGATGGCCATAATCATCGGCGAGAATTTTTCTGGCAAACCTGCTAGTAATAATGATCCCACCCATTCTTCCGTGATTGTAAATCCTGTGTTTTTTAATCTCTGAGCTGTTTCGACCAATTGCGTAACGTATGAAGTCATAGAATCACAATTTTCTTGCCGTAAAGAGATTAAATGTCTGAGTAGGGTTATTTTACGGGAAAAACCTGAGTCATCGAACATGCTTCTCAGTTTTGTCCATAACTCCAAAGATGTTTTTGTTTCCTTTATATGCACGTACAATCCAGGATCGATGGTTAAAACTAGCTTCGCCTTGGTTTTTGCGTCGTCTGATGTGTTTGCCTGGAAATTAGCCTCTGGCTCCGACTTTATGTAGTTCACGAGGTTGTCTAGCACCAACAGATTCTCGACAGCAAAACTCCACTCATCATAATTTTCGCGTCCTTTTAGTTTCGGAATGCTTGGAATATAGTTCACAGCCATATTTCCACGAAAAAGGTCAACAATTTTCGACTGTTTTACACTAGTTTACAGTAATAAAACCGAAAATTCCGGATATTCGCCCATAACCTATTAAAACACGTTGCTTTTCCGTAATAGACTGACTTTTATTTTATACATGACAGTTGACCGCACTACACATAGTTACACACAGTACAACCTAGATGGCGTTACTTCACACATTTTGATTTGTATTGTTATCTATTCCAATAGTAAGGTGACAACAAAATGTCCGCGTTCGTCGCGTCGCGTTGTTTTTCTGAATAAAGTCTCGCATTCATCGTGCTCGGGTATTTCTGTTTTGTGTCTAGAGACTTCTTCTACGAGCCAAAATTTTTCGATCTGGCTTTCAAGTCTCGTGCTAACGGCGAGATTGCACACTACCGTACTATCGGATTTTTCGTGCTCAAGTTTCCCCCATATAATCCAGCCTAATACCGTGTTATGCAAAACGGGTAGTCCTGGCCCTAACTGGATCTGACCAGAACACAATAGTTCTAAGTACAATCCTGCTCCCAAGAGAACATTGATTTCTGACGATTTATGGTAACGTGGGTCCGCCAACTGTACGCTGGACGGTATACGCAAGTTTTCTGGGGCGAAAGATACGCTCGGCTGATTCTCGGTTATTTTTTCCAACACTAACAACGTTTGCTTTGTAGAAAACGTCGTGCAGGTAGACCTTATCTCTGTAGATACCACTTGACACGCCTTTGGAACAGAACTGCCTACACCTAATACCGGTATTCTACTATTCATAGGCTTTAATTTCAACAATTCCACCGTGCGTTTCGTGATGAAGTTCGGTTGCAATCCGCTATCAAGTAAAGCGCGACATTCGTGCCATCTCCCTTCCGCATCTTTGAGTAAAATTATCGCCGTGGATAATAAAACTCTGTTTTTGAGGTCCACACAGCTACCCGCAAGCAACCCTGTCGACTGATCATCATTTTTTTGTACTGCGCTACTCCAACCCTTAGCGATTGCTACGCCACTGGTAGCCGCTGATTCAGAACTCGCGAGCAGTGCCGACCCTGTAGCAGACGACGTCGATGCAGGGACCGCATTGTGATGAGATGATTCATGCAACAGCCTGTTGTGTCTGGCGCCACATCGCTTACACCCCCGTGAACGTCATTCACCCTTCTGGTGGCCTTGTCGGAGGCAGTTATAACATAATTTTAATTTTTGAATTTCTTGGCGCAAAGATGCGGCTGGTAATGCTTTGAATTTATCGCACAAGTAAATCGCGTGCTGACCGTTACAATACACACATGATGCTTCGATTGCTGCGCCCGAAAATGTTCTATTCAAGCTTACAGGTTTCTTGTGGTTAACCGATGTATTCTGTGCTCTGCCTGTGGATTTATCAGATTTTTCACGCGATATGGCCTCAAGCAATTGACACCGAGCATTTAAAAATTTGATTAAATCATCTATACCAGGCGATTCAATTTGACGTGAGATTACGTGCTCCTCCCACGACTTTTCCGATGAAGGATCGAGTTTTTTTGTGATTAAATAAATTAGCAAGGTACTCCACTGTGTCACAGGCTCGCCTAAGGAAGTTAATGACCTCAAATGCTTTTGAAGGTCATCTGTTAATTTTCTAAGGGAGTGAGGATCTCTAGTTACCGATGGCATTTCAACTAATTCTCGAACATGATTCTTTATGATAACTGTACTATTTTCATATCGAGATTTTAATAACTGCCATGCATGATCATAATTCTCTCCTGTGACTTCCATGTTTTCGATTACTCTTGCGGCTTCTCCTTTTAAACAGCTCATCAGATAATAGAATTTCTTGACATTATCTAACGTAGGATCTCTGTCAACTAAGGCCAAAAACATATCCCTGAATTGACCCCATTTTTCATATTCACCATGAAACTTTGGCAACTCAATATTTGGAAACCTTGTATTTGAGACAGAATGCAACTGGTGATGTGAGAGGCCCACGTTTGATGAAGGTTCTGTGTTTATTTGCTTGCTCGCTTTTGTGTATCTGTGTGCATTCTCTATTGCGCTGTAATACCTGTCTTCAAAGGTGGCTCTCTCACTTGAACTTAACTCAGTTTCACTGAGAATCTCTATTTCATCTTGTACTGTATTGAAATTGTATAACAATCCCGTGGCTTGCTCTAAACGCACCTCTAATTGAATTATTTCACTTTTATCAAAGTTTTCTAGATACGTTATAAAACGCGTTAGTGAACCCTTTATTTGTCTTCGCTTGATGAGCAGCTGCCGTAACTGCTGTGCAGTTTCACTTGTGGAATCGGAATCCATAGCTGGCAGTGGCGTAGCGAGAGGGGGGGTCCAGGGGGTCCGGACCCCCCCCCGAAATATCAACACATTCAAAAGTTTCGACTGTCTAGCTCTCACGGCAGCCGCGCCCGCGGTCAAACACTAGTGGAAGCGCTACTGAGCGACTGCCGCGCCGGCGCTGTTCCGCTGTCCGCCTTTACAGTACAGTTGAAGCTTTGCATGTGGGCGGATAAGGTAGACAGTGACGTGATGAGCCGACGAGTGTTGCTCTTTTGATGTTTGGTTCACGCTAATGACTCAAGTTTATATTGTAATCTTCACTACAGCTTCTTTTAAAAATGAGTAAGAGAACCATAGATCAGTTTTTTAAACCAAAAACCTTAAAAACGGACCCGGAATCAAGTGACAAAGTGTTAGTTCCGCTGTTGCCACGAAAAATAGAAGGAACCACTATTGGCTCGATAGAAGAAGAAAGCATTACGTTGACTCCAGATCCATGTTGTTCATCGTCTTGTGACCAATCCAGAAATAGTAGGCCTACAGATTCCCAAGTAAGCATTGGCCTAACCTCTGTAGATATTGGCATAGTTTCCGACCATTTATTCCACTCCACAACCAGATTTGGTAAAACTACGGATTTGAAAAGTAAAGTGCTGAATGACTTATGTTATCCGGATGAGAATTTTAGCTTTCCAGTAACCGTGATCAACAATAAAAAATTAAAGTTTCAGAGGACCTGGCTAAAAAGGTTTAATTGGCTGGCTTATTCTAAGGCTAAGGATGGAACTTACTGCAAGTTTTGTGTGTTATTTGCCAATGAGTTCACTGGTAAAGGCCAACACCAAAAATTGGGAGCCTTAGTAACCATGCCTTTTAGAAAGTGGAAAGACGCAATAGATAAATTCACCTCTCACAGCAACTCTGAGTACCACAAATTTTCTTGTCTAGCTGCAGAAAACTTTATGAAGGTCGACTCTGGCCGAATGGAAGATATCACAGTGATGTTGGATTCGCAGAAGAGAAAAGAAAGATAACAAAACAGAGCTTCACTCAAGCCTATAATTGACACAATTATATTATGTGGAGAAAATTAAATACCTCTTCGGGGACATCGGGACAGTGGGCCACTGACGCCCGAAAAACCTTTAGAAAAGGAGGGCAAATTTCGAGCCTTACTCAGGTACCGGGCAGTCACCGATGAAAGTTTTAAAAAACACATTTTTAACTCTGCACGAAATGCAACCTATATAAGCCCTGAAATCCAGAATGAGATTATTGTCATTTGTGGAAAACTTATACAGAAAAAAGTGGTTCAGTCTGTAAACAGTGCAGAGTGTTTTTCCATTTTAGGAGATGAAACGCTTGATGTGTCTGGGAAAGAGCAGTTTTCACTTTGCATTCGGTACACTTTGAATGAAAACAAACCGATCCTTAAAGAAGATTTCATTGCATTCACCCACATAACAGATTTGTCTGCTGAAAGCATTTATGAAACTATTTTAACAATTTGTGCAAGTGTAGGTCTCAACATGGATAAAGTCATTGGTCAAGGGTACGATGGTTGTTCAACGTTTAGTGGACATTTGTCTGGCGTACATCAAAGATTTCGGGAATCACACCCCAAAGCTATTTATGTGCACTGTGTTGCACATCGTCTAAATTTGGTGTTGAGTGACTCCTTAGACATGCCTTACATAGGGAATTGTTTGGGAACTATAAATGAAGTGGCCAATATGATGAGAAATAATACTCAAAGCGGTGATATTCTAAAGAGGTATATTGAGAATCTTGTGCCAGAAACTCAAAAAAGCCGCCTCCTTCGCCTGTGTGATACAAGATTCATCGAAAGACAAGATTCTGTCCATACATTTGTCGAAGTATTTCCAGCCATAGTTGCTACTTTGGAAGAGTTATCTACGTCCAATAGAGCAATATCGTCTTCAGCTGCCAATCTTCTAGCCTCTATCGAAAAAGGAAGTTTTCTCGTTGCAATGGTGGTGTGTGAATTCATATTCAGCATCACCCTTCCTCTTTCAAAATATCTCCAGAAACCTGAGAGTGACTTGTCATCTGCCCTAAAATTTGCTGATGACACGGTTGAACGTCTGAAGGATTTGCGTAAACCATCCGAAAATGGAGACAGCAGTGATATCAGGCAATTCCATCGGTTATTTGAAAAGGCTGAAAAAATGTCTCAAGATAATTTTAGAACAGCAATTGTTGTGCCCCGGCTAGTGGGGAAGCAAACTAAAAGAGACAACCCCCCTTACTCTACTCCTGAAGAATATTATCGTCGATCAATATTCATACCATGTGTAGATTCATTGATTTCTAATTTGGTTGAGCGGTTTGGGAAAAACAGAGATATTTTGGAAGCTCTAGATTGTTTACTCCCCAAGAATGTAAAAGAAACAAACATTCACAAACTGAAAACACTGAAGCTGTTCTACGATAGTCAGTGGTCTGATTGTGAGGTCGATGCAGAGTATATGCTGTGGAATACAAAATGGAAAAATATACAAGAATCTGAAATTCCTAAGAAAATCATGTCGGTTCTAGATGCCTGCGATAAAAGCTTCTACCCTGCTATCAAATATTTGCTCCAGGTAACTATTTATTATTATACAACTAAGTAGGCATGTATAAGTTTATTTTAGTACTTTTTTACATTATTGAAAAATATTCAAATCAAGACGATTTATAACGACAAATAGTGAAATGAAATATTGATCGAAAATAAAACGGGAAAACATTTAATAATCCCCAACTGATTTCTAGCCAAAACTAAGAGAGATCAAATAGAACTTACAACAAATAACTTTTCTATTGTAGGTGCTTGCTACATTACCAGTTTCAACAGCAGAAATAGAGAGATCATTTTCATCTCTCAAAAGAATTAAGAGCTATCTGAGGAATTCCATGAATGACCAACGATTAAATGGGCTTGCTCTTCTGTCAATTCACTATCCAGCTCCAATCAACAGTGACGAAGTTATCGATGAAATGGCCAGATAAGGAAATAGGAGATTACAGTATATTCAGATAAGAGATAGACCGGATGTAAACAAAAGGTTCGGGTGATTTTCACGCTAACGCCGCCGTCTCGACATAAAACAGGAGCCCTCATTAGTCAATTCGCAATTAAATGCCTATGCCGTGCGGCAGAGCAGTCGTATCAAGGCAGAGTCACATTCAGGTTCAGACGTGTTACGTATGTCGTGTGTATCATTGCAATTTGATATTTCTTTGGACGTTTTCGTTCAATATTCTTTCTTTCAATATGACTAAATAATCCCAATTATAGCAATCTGATACTCATGTCTCAATGTTTTTTCGCTGAATGTGATGAAAACATTTGAAAAAGGTTCGCTTATTGAAATATGTAAATCTACACCAGTTAGTACTTCGATTTCCAGGTAAAGGGCAAAGGCTCATTATCTGCCATATTGGCAGTGAGGATGGATTTGTTGTTGACGGTCTGTGGTGCTTTGAGTCTAAGAAAACTGGAGATTACCACGAGGAAATGAATGGCGAATCGTTTGAACAGTGGTTTTCAAAAATTTTACCGAACTTAGAGGAAAACGCAGTAATTGTGTTGGATAATGCGCCTTATCATTCTCGAAGAATGGAGAAGGTCCCAACAACGGCTTCAATGAAAGTTGATGTTCAAAATTGGCTCCGCTCGAAAAATATCAACTTTGAAGAAGCAATGCTGAAAGTACAATTATTAAGAATTGTCAAGGGTCACAAGGCGGAATATCAAAAATACGCCATTGACGAAATGGCAGCAAGTCAAAATAAAACTGTGCTCCGTTTACCTCCATACCATTGCGAGCTCAATCCCATTGAGCTCATATGGGCAGAGGTTAAAAATTATATAGCTAAGCACAATACAACTTTTAAATTTTGTGACCTCAAAGGACTTTTCAAAGAAGCACTAGAATTAATAACAGCGCAAAAATGGGAAAACTGTATTAAGCACGTGAAAGACAAAGTTGAAAAGAGAATGTGGGAACTGGACAATATTTTAGAGGAACAAGTCGAGCCATTCATTATTGACGTTGGTGCTTCAGGCAGTAGCGATGATGAAAGCTCATCAAGCTCATCTTTCCAATAAAAGATGTCGTTCATCAAATTCGGTAAGTTATAAGTAATTATAAAGCTACTGTATTTTTTAATTAATTATTGACATTTTTGAACCCATTTTGGCAAAACCTATTCAAGAATCTACTTTCTGACAATGTTTAACCATGCACATTTTTTTACGTTTTGAACGTTTTAATTTGGTTACATATTTACCTAGAAATCAAAAAATATACTAATCAATATTCTAAAAGCAATTTTAAGAGATATACGATTATTTTTAATTTAGGCTAATTTAAACGCCATTTTGAGATTATATTCGACTGTATTTCACCAAACATCAGGCGGCATCCGAAACTGGAAATCGAAGCGAAAATTTCGAAACCCTTATGTATATTTACATCATTATATATTTCTTACCCCACCCCCACATGATCCTATATCCATCACCAATCGTATACACATCGAATTGTGCTAATTTACTACAAAGATACGCAAAGCAGCATCTACTATCTAAAATATGTACTGCGTGACTCTTAATACGTCCCTGCCGAATGTTACAGCGTTCAATGATCACGTGGTCTTGTTTATGTCCGGTCTATCTCTTATCTGAATATACTGTAGTGCTGTAACTTAGGACATCATTTTGTTAATTTATTCATTCGACTAATCTTAGAATGTTATAAAGACATTCTAACTAAAATGCTCTACATCTGTTGTTTTTCCAGCATTACTTATGGTTTTTAAAAAGTTTAAAGCTCCGGATAAGTTTCAGCACTATTTTTATGTTTATTTAGTTAAAACAGAATTACTACTTTTGTTCATCATAAAATAAATAAAAATATTAAGAAAACCTGAATTTCTAAGAAGTTTTTTCGATTATGCAGTGTTAAAATGGATTTAAGCCATCTATTCCTTACCGTTTTTTAAAAAAAATCCCGGACCCCCCCCGAACGAAGTTTCTGGCTACGCCACTGATAGCTGGATCGATCATTTTTTCAACTAGACGATATGACTGATTGATTGCACTACTGATTGACCTGATTTTGAATCAACGAGACAAGGAAGTGAAAAGGAACAGACTTACAGCAGGTATTTCTGACTCAATCATCTGGTTTCTATACTTTTAGCTTTCGTGGTCGTGGCGTGGCTTCTTTACTTCGTCGTTTTCTTACGTTACTGATCGTGGCTCGAAGGACCAACGTGTAAAGCACTCACTCTGAGGGTTTACCGATGAAATAACTATACGTTCTTCGCTTTACGAAGGTTTATAACAGAAAATGTAGGGTACAATACTTTGTATAAGTGAATAATAATGTCTGTCTCTCGTGGCACCATCATCCCCTCTCTCTTGCGTCACTGGTTGGTAACAAGAAAACCTGTAGATTTTTCGCCCGGTCGGTAACGTAGGGTAACCGCCTGGCCAGTAGCAAACGGTTGATGCGTTGAAGCGCCGCTCACTAGATGGCGCGAGAAGTACGGTTTTGATCTTCTGGTGGGTGGGCTTAACACTCGTAGTTGGTATCCTAGAAAAATCTCAATCTAAGAGTTATCTCGTAGTTGGCAGTCAACATGTTAAACATATATTTACATATATAATGAAAATATTTTTGATCGCTAAAAATGTTGAAGAGGTTTGAACTGAAATATGCCATTCATCAGTATCTTAGTCCACTTTAATATTAGCTATTCTTGATAAATAGTTTATGGTTTATGTCACACGTCACAATACTCGTATATACGTATAAATCGTAAGAGTTGAGCTGTAAACAAGTGATGTCAAAGAGGGACACCATTTGGATTACCAAAGGATACCAAAAAATCATAATGCTCAGTTCCTATAGCTATAACTTATAGTTAGTATGCCTCTGTCACCATGATGTGGCAGAAAGTAACACAATGGTGTTAGATTGCAAAAGCAAATGTCAGACGTCTAGAAGGAGGGGCGCGCGCCCCCTCTAAATCCGCCAGTGGGCCTGAGCATATATCTTTTTGTAAATTATAAATTATCAAGTACAGTTGTTTCATTATAATGTCCTGTTGCAATGTAAGACTAGTTGAGAAATATATTTACTTGCATTTCATAACTAACGAAAACGATTAAATAATGAATAACAAGGTAAGACTATCGCATATCGCAAATACTTCATTTCTTACTTTAAAATGAAAGATTAGGATGTAACTTTTACGAAAATATTATTTTTACTTTAAGGAACCCTCTGCTTGCTATTTTATAGAACTTCAAAGTTGCATTTTGGATGGTAATACTGTGGTATAGAATACTGCTTTATAAGCATTTATATAATTATATGAATATAACTGTAAATTAATGTAACACTGTTCATCGCAATAATGCAATTTTGCATTATTTTAATGATGAGTTAAGTGATGATTTCTTTTATTTCAGATAAATATTCCCATCACTACACCACCATCACTATCATACTTTATCCATCTAGTTGCGATGTTGTCAAAACATAGATAGTACTATACCTTAATTTGATTTGTCAAATTCTTACTTATATACCATCGCAAAAATATGCAATTGGCACAGGATTATCATGGAAATGCAATTTGGAGGTGTGGCCGGCAGGTCTGACTGTACTAAATCCACCTCATGCCCTACGATTTATTTAGTTAAAAACACTTTTTTCAAGAGTGCCTTATGCCCTTCACAAAAGTACTTCGGTTATAGTTTTTCCTATATTATAGTCATAATCCCCCTTTCCTCTGTATCCCCCTATAGCCCCACGGTACCCAATGGCTGTTTAGGCCTTCGTCGTGGTTGGAGTATAAAAAAACCATTACCTTTTTTATGTATGTACTTGAAGAATTATTTAAAGTGAAGCTGATGTCACAAAATATACCCAATTAAGGGCCGATTTCACCAAAATATAGTCTCAACTCGTTTTTTTTTGCAAAAAAGGTTCAAAACCAGCCATATTATTACACATTAGCATTAGCTTATTAGCTGAAATAACACGTCAAAATACATACGTAAATGATGGTATTTACTTGGTAAACTTTGTAGAGATGTTGTGTTGTGATTGTTCAATGTCTTCTTGAAATTCCTTAACCATTTTTTTTTCGAGTATTTTCAATGAGATCAAAGTTTTTGCGTTTATAAGAAATATTTGAAAGTACAAACAATTCTCAATAGCCATTTTATAATGATCATTTCTTGACAGATAACATAAATGATGTCCATTGATGCCAAGTTGTACCTTTTTTTGGAAGAAAATAAATAAAAAATGAGGTTATTTGCAAAATAAAAGTCTAAGGGCCAATTTCACCAACATTAATATTTGACGGTCAGTTGGACTAATAGGAAAAGACCTTATCGAAATGCAATTTGACGGAAGCTGTCAAAGGTCTCAAAATATCAGTGATTTCTATTAAAATGTTGAATAAAATCGTGAAAATTCGACTGTATTATAAACAAGACCACTTTTTGATTCCAACATGATGCTTTTGTACAGAGAAAACAGGACAACTTTCATGTATTTTGATTTATGTTATAGGTGTACATTTGACCATCCGTTATCCCCTCAGCGAATGGGAATGGGAGAGATAATAGGTCGATTTTCTAGCTATTAAATTTTTCAGCAGGTTTGGTCGTTTGTTAATTCATGGCAATCTCGAAATTTGTTAAGTTCAATATACTGTGTGTATATATGATCATTATAGCTACACAAAACTGTTGAATTGTGCGGATTTCTTCAAAGCAATCAAAACAGTATGGTCGTCCCCATCCTAAAACACCGATATGTGTAAATCATGTTAATCCCTACATCTTCGAGGTGCATAATGCAATTACTGTAGACTTAGAGCCGTTTTACACACAAGAGAATTACTCCGAAAATTATAGTCATAATTATGCCGAAAATTTTTGCTGTCGTATTACACGTAAAATAATTCTTATGAAAATTTTCATGGTAAAAATATAAAACCCGTTCTATAGAATATGCGCAGAGGGATATTTCCGTGCATGTCATTATCAAATGTCAACGTCAACAGCATAACCTCACTTAACATTTCTTGGTGTGGTCCTGTTCGTGTCGTGCGAAGAAGCGTTCATTGTTATGGTTTATTCATAATGTCGTGGAATCGGGAAGAAGTTACACTGTTGTTGCAGTACCAAAAATGGCCAAACCTGTACAAGGTGAAGTCACCAAATTACGAAAACAGAAATCTGCGACGTCTGTTGTCTCTCCGATTCTATTGGACGTCATACCCGTTAAGATTATGTCCATTCGAAAATATTACTCTAATGCGCAGGCGTATCATATGAATTACTCGGAAATTTTGTTTGCTTGTGTCATACAGGTTGTAGAGGAAATCTTCAATATTTTTTCCATGCAAATTTCCGGCATAATTATGACCATAATTTTCCGAGTAATTCTCTTGTGTGTAAAACGGCTCATAGACCTAAAATTATTAGTAATTATTACTGAAAAATAAGAGCTAAAAGAATTATAAATAGTGATAAAATATTGGTGGTTAAGGTTTTTGACTGGTGACTGGTGGCGATCAATGAACTGCAAACACTGATGGAATTGCCCCGTCCCATTTGTACAATGAAACGATAATGCGGCCAACATACGACAAAGAGGTCCGAGAGAGAGAGAGGTGGAGCTAGTCTGGGCAAAAAGCGCGCAGACTTGAGTGAATTGCATAGGAAACCGAGGATTCTTAGAGAAGATTTAAAAGTTATTCAGGCAACTGGAACGAGATAAAATCCTGGAAACGTAATTATAATTAAAAAAACAAGTTTATTTATTTATATATACATATGTATGAAACTTGACAATAAATTCTCCTTTACACATTTGAAGACATAAAAATTAGTATTTAACATAAGTAATTAATGATTCAGGTAGCAAAGAGATTACATGTCTGCTTATAATTAACTTAACTGCTCTAATATGCTATATTTTACATATAAAAAATAAGAGATCTAAGAAATATCACAATAAATACATGTTATTTTCTATATATCTTTATAATGTTCCAAATAGTATTTATGCGCATTTAAATTTATTTTTATAGTACTGTAGCTGTCAACACTAAATGTAGTGGGAACACGTCCAGTTTTGTAGAGATTAAAGTGTACAAAGAAAAAACCCTTATGTTCCAAAAAAAGTGTGTAATATTCTACCAGCGGTTTTTAGAGCTTAATATAGGAAGAAAAGTTTATATAAACATTGGTCGGCAAACTTCCAATAAGGGCGCTACGGTCTTTTAAAGGGGCTCCCCTGAAGATGTTTTTTCCGAAACGTGTTGAGATAAAGACATAAAATTTGGTATTCTAGCCTAGTTTTTTATGCTGGATGGAAAAATATTAACAATTTTAGACAGTTTTGTTTAAGCTGAAATTGTTAGCAGTGTAAAATTACTAGATTAAAATCAAAAATTTTATTAAATCGATTTAAAATGCCAAGATATTGCTTTAAATATGTTTGAAAATATTCCGCAAATAAGCATACGGAATGTTTCAGAAATTATGGATGTTATATGGCCATAGTAACTACGCAGTTATTATACAATGTTGCACCAGACGCTGTGTCAGCATATGATAACAACTTCTCGCTAATCCGTTGCTAGAATAGTGCCTTTGCTGTTTTCTGCTAATTCTTAGTCAGCTTTCTGAATGTATAAATAGGCCTCGCGGCCATATCCTGTCGTTCAATACCCGGTTAGACTCCGTAAATGTCACATTTGTAAACCTTTGTATTTTATATGGACTGAAGCTTCAGTCCTCAAATAAAATTTTTTAAAAAGTTATTTCTAAATCTAATGATTTAAGAAATTGGTGTCAGAGAAGTGGGATAGCTTCAACGCATTAGAACACGTGCATACTAACTGGTGCGGTGGATGCCTATCCTTTAAGCTGAAAGAAGAAGGAACCCATTGAAGAAAGAAAACTACAAGTAAAAAACTACAAATCAACAAGAAGAAAGAAAACAACAGGGGACACAGCGAGCAGCAGCCACCCAACTGCAGACAGACTACTGGAAACATCGCAAGAGATCCACTAGCCGCCTGGAGAACACGACTGCCTCCCGATGTACCCTTGGTAACGTACAATTTTAGTCTAACTATTTTTTGCGATTTATCTCTGTGTGTGTGATTGCTACATCTTTTTATTTGCATTTTTTGCGCATTTACTCTATATATTGTCGATTTTCACGTATTTTTCCCCATTTTTACGTATTTTTCTATTTTACATTCATATATTTTTGCATTTTCCCTTGACATTATTGAATCTTTTTGAAACAACTTTCCATTTAAAATGTCTACTAATGGTTCAGATGATTACCAACCAGCTGAAATTCCTGATAACGTTCATGCGAACATTGAACCTTATAGATTATCTGAAATATTTTCGATTGTACCCGAGTACGATGGAAACCCGATATTGCTATCGACCTTCATCAACGCATGCCGAACGGCATATCAAATAGCCGTCGAGGAGCAGCGGCTTCTCGTCGTTTTACATATTAAAAACAAACTTCGCGGACGTGCCGCCGAACTTGTGAACAGCCGAAACCCTTCCACGTGGGAAGACATACGGTTCCCTGTTAGAAACCCACTTTGGAGATCTTAGAGATCTCACATCTTTAATCGCGGATCTTCAACACATGCGCCAACTCCCCAACGAATCACCCCTAACCTTTGCATCTAGACTGCAGACGCATGCAGCCAAAATGCATTCCGCCGTGAATATGCAAAATCTAAATCGCGAGCAAAAATCTGCTCAAAGTTCCCTCATCGAAACGATGACTTTAAATTGTCTATTAACAGGATTAGACTCAAAAATAGGACCTGTTGTGCGATCAGGACATCCCACGGATATCTTGACCGCAGTTTCGTATATCAAACGAGAATTACAACTCTCATATTTGGAACGACAAAAATTCGCCAGGGCCCCAAACCCGAATCAAAATTCAGTTAATCGAAGACCAAACCCTAAAATTTGTAATTTTTGTAATCGTCCCGGTCACTTGGCAAATGAATGCCAACGGAGACAACAGCCTACAAGTTTTGCCCCAAGACAGTTTAACCAGCCCCAGCCTCAAAATTACCCTAGGCCGAATCAACCTATGCAAGTTAGACCATCTACATCTAACTACCATCAAAATTCTAATCAATATCCTCCCAGACAATCTGAAATACGACCAAATGCGCCTAACGCGAGTGCTCCAAGACCCTCTGTAATTCGGAGCAATCCAAATTTCTAAAACCCTAATTTTCAAAGAAATTTTAGACAAAATCCTCCCAATCGAATTAATTATGTCGCCCCTGATTCTTACGATTATTCCGACTACGGTGAACCAGACCTAAACAACACGGACTACGCTAATGAATATGACGATACCCAATACTCCGCCTACACACCTTCCCCATACGATGATTTTAGAGAACCCAGTAACGATTTTTGTTACGAATATAATCAAACCGCCGATACATTTGTTGACAACGCTTATTCGGACATACAACAATTCCAGGATTTTCGGACCAAGTGTCTGAAAGAGAAACCCCCTGCGGAACCCAACGATAGTACCGCGCACACCGCGATAGTATGTGCGAAAGTGCGAACTTAGCGAATCTCAGTGTCGAGGACGCGAACGCGAAACCGTGTGCGAGCGTCAGCAACACACGCGACCAGATGTTCATATAAACCCTCCGTTTATAGTCCCGTCGACAATTCACCCCGTTAGCCCAGACAACTTATATTACATTAAAGATGCTACTGGAAAATTCAAAATTCTCATTGACAGTGGTGCAGGTTGCTCCATTTTCAAACGTAACACTTGTCAAAATTATACTAATCGTGTCGCAGAAAATATCTCTATCCGAGGTATTACTGACGAAAAAATTAGTATTACTGAATCAGTCTTAGTCCCATTTGCTCCCAACGATTATCACAAAATTTATGTCCATGATCTAGATATTTCATTCGATGGCCTTCTTGGGTCAGATTTTCTTGAACATTATAATTGTATTATTGATTTGAAAAATCGTCAATTGATTACAAATTTCAAAACAGTCCCTCTTTTCAAAGTAGGTGACGAAAATAATTCCAAAGCTTCTCAATTTAAAGAAAAGTCCCAAGCTTCGCAATTTAAAGAAAATTCTCAAGTTCAAAATGTTATTTCCATTCCTCCCAGAGTTGAACAAGTTGTCAAGCTCAAATCCGAGCTTAGAAATACTGAAGCCATTCTTCTGGCGTGTGAGGTAGAAAAAGTCCGTCTACCCAGTTCTATAGTTAAAATTGATTCTAAAGGCGAATTCCTTACTACAGTATTAAACTGTAATGCCATTCCAAAAAATGTAATTTTACCCCAATTAACTTTCGAGCCCTTTAACGAAACTTCTATCAATAATTTCAACACTTCTTTACAAAATCAAAGTCAGTATAACCGTAGAGATGTTATTAGAGATCAATTACGTCTCGATCATCTCAACGAAGAGGAAAAAGATTTAAATACGAATCTTTGTTTAGATTTTTCGGACATATTCTATTTAGATGGTGATAGCCTGTCATTTACAAACGAAATTAAGCATTCCATTGATACCACTACCAGTAAACCAATTTTTACCAAATCCTACCGATACCCTTATGTCCACAAGCAAGAAGTCAAAGATCAAATTTCAAAATTACTAAAACAAGGTATTATCGAACCTAGCACATCGCCATGGAATTCTGCGGTGTGGGTTGTACCAAATAAAATGGACGCCTCTGGTAAACAGAAATGGCGTATGGTGATTGACTATCGTAAGCTTAACGAAATCACCATCGATGATAAATATCCCCTGACAAACATTTCCGATCTACTTGATCAATTAGGGAAATGCCAGTACTTTAGTACACTGGACTTGGCATCTGGATTTCATCAAATCGAGATAAATCCAGTTGATGTTCCTAAAACTGCATTTTCAGTTGAAAACGGACATTACCAATTCTTGAGGATACCTTTTGGTCTCAAGAACGCTCCTGCCACGTTTCAACGTGTCATGGACAACATCTTGATGGGTATACAAAACGAAAGATGTCTTGTATACATGGATGACATAATTGTCTATTCCCCCTCCATCCAAGAACACATCAGTAGGCTTACCGAAATTTTTAAGCGTCTTCGGAAGTCGAATTTCAAAATCCAGCCTGATAAGTGCGAATTCCTCAGAAAGGAAGTAGCCTATCTTGGTCATGTAATAACCCCTGATGGCGTTAAGCCCAATCCAGATAAAGTGGATTGCATAAAAAATTTCCCTCAGCCCAAGAATCCTAAAGAAATAAAATCTTTCTTAGGTCTTACAGGTTACTACCGACGCTTTATACCAAACTTTGCCAAAATTGCGAAACCCCTTACCAGACTATTACAGAAAGACGCAGTATTTGACTTTGATAGCGAGTGTGTTAAGTCATTTGATACTTTAAAAAATGCTTTAACAACATCTCCTATACTGATCTACCCCAACTTTGAAGAGCCTTTTGTGCTTACAACAGACGCAAGCACTTTTGCGATATCTGGCGTTCTTTCCCAAGGTCCCATAGGTAAAGATCTCCCGATAGCCTATGCATCTCGTACACTTTGTAAAGCAGAAACGAGATATTCCACCATTGAAAGAGAACTTCTAGCTATTGTCTGGAGTGTAAAACATTTTAGACCTTATTTGTATGGTCGAAAGTTTAAACTCGTAACAGACCATAGGCCCCTTACGTGGCTTTTCTCTTGCCGAGACACCGGAAGTAGATTAGCAAGATGGCGCATCAAGCTAGAGGAGTACGACTATGAGATAGTGTACAAGCCAGGCAAGGCTAATAAAAATGCCGATGCCCTATCACGTATCAAATCACCCAAAACTGTTAACGCCCTTACCCATAGTGACGAAGAAGGAGAACCTTCTACCCAATTTTCCGAAAGTGAATTTGATATCTTTGCCCGCCTTTACAAAACCACATCCCTGATCGATTATTCCAAAATTCAATTTTCAAATTCCCAACTCATAGACAAAAGTCATAAACATATCGTCACGTTTTTCAGACAAAACACTCTATCTGATCTTCACGAAAAAATTATCGAAGACATTTCGAGGAAAATCTTGATTTTTCTGCAGATAAAATTAACATCGCGTCTAGCAAAACAATTAAAGATAGAAAATACTATATTATTCCTGTGCCATACGATCCCGTAACTTGCATACAGCATCTTTTCTCTGTAATTTTAACCAACAAAGGTCTATTCGACCTATCCCAACAAATCTACGTTGAAAATAATTTGGACTTACCCATTTTAGAAATTTTCTCTTTTATTTTTTCGGATGATAATATCAAACTTGTCGTTTGCCAAAACGTCACCAAAACTCCTAGTCCCGATGAAATCCCCGTTATTTTAGATCAATATCATTGTGGTAAGAAAAACATTCATCGAGGAATTAATGAAACAATTAGGCGAATTCGTGAACGATATAATTGGCCCGGCTTAACTAAAGACGTTGAGCATTTCATCAAAAAGTGTGAAATCTGTCAAAAGACCAAAATTTGTCGTAAAAACCTCAGTGCCCCTTTTGTAGTAACTGAAATCCCTAAAGCCCCGTTCGAAAGAATCAACATTGACATTTTGGAAGTCCCACCTAAATGCTACGCTCTCACAATCCGAGACGAGCTAACAAAATTTTCTCAAGCCTATCCAATTAGCGACAAATCTGCAAAATCTGTAGTAAATACTCTACTTTTATATTTCCAACATTATGGTACACCTCTCCGAATACACTGTGATTACGGAAAAGAATTTGACAACGCCCTCATGAAAGACCTTTGTAGTTTTTATGACATTAAATTAACTTTTTCTAGTGTCAGTCATCCCCAGTCCAATGGCTCGATTGAGCGATTTCACGCCACCTTATTGGAAATGATCAGATCCCATGTATCCGAAAATCCCGACGAACATCCCTTCAATATTCTTCCCTATGCTGTTCAGTGCTACAATAGCACTAGAAATAAAACTACTGGCTTTACACCATACGAGCTCGTGTTTGGCCACACCTCTGGTCGTCCGCCCGAACACGTATATTTAGAAAAAGAATTGATGTCCAAGTATGTTCGAGACATTCGGAACTCGAATATTACTACAAAATTGCCCGCGTGAGACCTGACGAACAGAAGCAAAAAGCAAAAATTCGCTTTGATAGTAGAGTGTCACCCAATTTACAATCGTATAAAGTTGGAGATAAAGTATTTGTGAAACAGTCTCAAATTTCAAACAAACTTCAGAGCAAATTTGATGGTCCATTCGAAATTACTCAAGTTTTTGAAAATTCTGCGCTCCTTAAGAACCCGGAAACAAATAGAATAAGTAAAGTTAATTTTGACAGACTGAAACCATGTTTTGAGACTTAGTTTCTCTTTCAGGTGCAGTCTGCTGTTTCTTGCGGCTGTCACAGCCCAGATAGACATCAAACCGATTAACAACACCTTAGGTATCTATTTTCATGAAGACGCCCCTCTTAAGATTTCCAACGAAATTTGGACACTCCTTGTATATAAAGACTTAGAACTCATTAAGAAAGCACTTGACGATAACAACAATATTCTGGAACACTTATCATATCTCGTAGACAAACCCACCAATCGTATGAAAATGTTTAGTGGTGAAATTAAAACTCATACAAGTCTCCTTTATCAAATTTCTCGTTCCTTGGAATCTAAATATTACGGTACGAACATAGTGGAGCGACGAGGTTTCAGATTCAGATATCTGGTAGCGTCTAGAGCGTAGAGGCAAGAGGCACCTATGGTTATAGTAGAGCGTCGCGTTTTGTCGAAGATAGACGTAAAAATATGTATTCCGACAGTGACGATGACATTCTTCTCAATAATACTTACCTGCAAGTGCTTTTAATGACTGGAGTGCGGCAGTGTAGTGTGCACGACGTAAATAAAAGTCGGAAACGCCTAGGGGAATTCCATCATTTATTTCTAGAACTGAAAAATTATCCCGACAGGCTATTTGACTACATTCGAATGGAACTTGCCACCTTTCAGTATATATTAGAACAAGTTACACCCTGCATCAACAAGAAATGGACAAATTTTAATCAAGCGCCTATAGGAACCGAAGAAATGTTGGTGGTAACAATTCGGTAAGAGAATATTATGTATTAAGGATAATACTTTTATTATTCATAAACAAACAAACGGTAACGCAAAATAATATTCTGTCTTCTGAACACAACGAACGATAACTTATAATAACTTATAATGTTTACTGATCTGCGTAATTAAACCCCTGCAACAAATGGGATGAATGTGCAAACGATGTTTGTGGTTGAGATGTATATGTCGGGCTATGATTAACAGAATGACTGACATTGATGGTGGACTGATTGTTCGAGTACTCTTCATAGGCATACTTCTGAACCAAATTTTGAATTTCATTGCGGAACTGAAGTTTTCGATGAGGCCTAATTTTCACCACGTGGGGCAAAAGGCTATCAAAAAACAGTTTATCGTCATCTGTGACTGGTAGGGCTCTGCCACGGTCTGCAGCGACACGTTTCTCATCTAAATATTGTAGTTTTTTCTTCTCTATCTCAAGAAAAGCGTCAAGTTGATTTGACCGTTTTCGGGCCCTATTCTTTAGAATAGTTCGTGGTTCTTTTGGTGTGCTTTGAATTGGAGTGACTGATTCTGTGTGGTCGGGTTCTGTTTCCTGCGTTTCTACACCCTGCGTTTCGTCCATTTCGTCTTCGTCATAGTCACCATCATTTTCATCCATCTGCGTAGAGGGTGTCGAAACTTGTGTGTCATTGTCGGGATCCAACAGGTTGCTATGACTGGATCTCGGCAGAAACTGGTCTCTCAGAAACAATAAACTTTTGAAATGAGGCCAGGAGCTCTTTTTAAGAGCCTCTTCGCCTGGATCACCAGACCGGGGCAGAGGTATTTTCTTCAGTTCTTTTCTGAAATAATCACGTAGATTTTTCCACTTCTCAGAAACTTTCTTAACTGCAACAAACAAAAATTTTCAGATATCTTGCAACAGGAGCGTCCTTTAGACACTTGGCATTTTCCTTTCGAATGGGCAGGAGTACTGTTGCGAGCATTATAAAACATATGATTAAAATATTATGGAACATGCTGCAACCACTTCACATGCCAGAACCTACTACGGCAACATTTTTAAATGTAAGTGCAGACTTCATGAAAGTATGGAACTTCCCCAATTGCATCGGAGCTGTTGACGGCAAACACGTCAAAGTTATAGCACCACAACATTCCGGATCCATGTACTTCAATTATAAGCATTATTTTTCTATCGTCCTACAAGGAGTTTGCGACGCAAATTACAAATTGCTTGTGATAGATGTCGGAGGTTACGGCAAACAGAGCGATGGGGGAACGTTTCAGAGTTCCAATTTGTACAAACGGATACACCAAAACAAACTAAATGTGCCAAATCCAGATAGTTTACCAGGAACAAATGTCCGCGCTCCCTACGTATTTATTGCAGATGAAGCGTATCCACTAATGCCCAATTTGCTAAAACCATACAATCGAAGGAACCGCTCTTTGGAACATATAAATTTTAACCAAAGATTGTCCAGAGCACGCAAAACTATCGAGTGCACCTTTGGAATTATGTACGCGAAGTGGCGTCTTCTGTCCAAAGCTATAGAGACTACTGAAAAGACTGCGGATGATATCATTAAGGCGATATGCATTTTGCATAATACAATACTGGACCGAGAGGGATTTCAACGACATTTAACATTAGTAACTGATGCAGTTCCTAGAGATCAGATGTTTGAATTACCTAGAGGAAGGCAACTGGGTGAAGGTCAAAGAGTTCGCGACATTTTCTGTAACTATGTTAATTTCTTTCCAATCAGTTACGAGACAGCTTAAAATTTTACCGCAAGATGTAAGTTCTAGCTGTTGAAATGTGTATAAAATACAATTATTTACTTACCCGACTGATTATTGCATTCATTGGCTACCTCCTCCCATAACTTATCTAGCACGTATCGGTTGCGATGATCTGGATGACTCTGATCCCATATAGCCCTTCTGTGATATACACTATTTATTAATTGCACAACATCCATTATTAAATCGCTTGAAAACGCGTGACAAAAATTGAATGCAACTATTTAAAACTCGTCGCTCGAAACTTCCTAGAGACTCGACGCATGCCTTATCGCGCTACTATGGCCCGACAGGTTTCAACCTGTGTTTTTGACTCACATAGCGGCAAACCGCGCGGTTAGCCTCTATCTGAATCTGAAACCTCGTCGCTCCACTATGTTCGTACCCTTACGCGATCTTCGATGACACTGTAAGCGCATCGCGGATGAAACGCGGTCTGATTAACGCTATAGGTACCGTATGGAAAGCAATAACCGGCAACCTCGATTCATCGGACGGTGAATACTATAACGATTGTATTAACAAAATTTCTAAAGATGAACATGAGCTCGAAAACCTCATGAAGAACCAAATTTCTGTTACCATGTCGGTTATCAAGAATTTTAATAACACTATTCAAAAACTTATGATTGATGAAACTACGTTTAACGAAGATATTAAGGTTATTGAAAACAAAATTTATGAAATTTCAGGCGATCTTGCATTTTATGAAGCTAAATTCCAATTTTTAGAAGTTTGCGAACAATTAATGGAAAGCTGCATGTTTCTGGAAGAAACAATTAATGATATCCTAAATTCGATTACTTTTGCACGTTTAAAAATAATACATCCTTCTATTATCACTCCTCAAGACTTAGTAAATTCTCTTCAAGAAATTTCTCACACTTTGTCGAGAAATAATTTACCCCTTCCGGTTAATTTAGCAACAGTGTCAGAGTACCTTAATCTTATGGAACTCGAAGCGTATCAAACTAAAACAAGAGTAGTATTCGTTCTACGCATCCCGTTATTAGAGCCCGAAATGTATACTTTATACAGAGTGATTCCTCTACCCATTCTCGATAAACGTACTGGTTTGTTTCATGTAGTCTCCACTATACAGAGGTACATTGCTAAAGATAGCGATTCTCTTTTGTACGTTTCCTTTCAAAATTTAGGTAGTTGTAAAGTTCTTCAGTCTCAGGTGAAAATCTGTTTCAACCTCTTGCCGTATCCAATAGACAGTAATGCAGTCTGCGAAGCACACAATCTGCCGACAGCCTGCCAAATAGCAATTGTGGCATTGCAAGATTACAAAATCCAAGAACTTGCAACCAATTTTTGGCTAATCACCATATCTAGCCCTCTGCCAATTACGATGAAGTGTGGACAACGAGAAACTACCACCAAAGTGATAAAAGTTAATTCACTTTTAAAAATGCAACCTGAATGCAGTGGCTTTGTAGGCACCACGAGATTACATTCTAGATATTCTGTTAGCACCTACAAGAATATCACATACAAAAGTCACCCTGTAGAAGTACCCTACAAATGCTGTGAACATCTCCCAGAGAAACAAAATTTACCAAAATTAAAAACGATCAAGCTAAGCAAGATCGATACTGAAGAACTCGAAATTGCCAATCACAAATTAAACCAATATTCTGAACAACTGGACAAAATTATGAACGAGCCGTTTGGTTCGAGACATCTCTCATGGTTCACGTATTTCATCATCACCCTGTTAGTTATCATCGTAGCTTTGTACCTGTTCTGCAAGTGCAGAAAACGTAAACCACTCAGCATCTGCGCATCAAATTATCCAGCCGATGGCCCATCTCCAGGAGCACCAAAAGTCCGGTACATTCCCAGACTTTTTCCTCGACGTAGACCAACCATCCAGCCACATGAAGAAGACATCGAACTGCAGTGAGTGTTCCGTGAAGTGTTTTCACTGTTCAAAAAATCATTTTCAATTTTCGTGTTATCTTCCATGTGATTTTGCAAGTACGACTGTACGATTGTATCTTATTATTTGTTTGTTCCAGCTTTGCTTTTAGATGTTATTTTGCATCGCCAATGTACCGCATTTATGCTAACAATTTTATTTTTCAGAATCTGTATTTTCTGATTTTACTTTTGCAATTTGTATTTTGCAATTTTACTATTTTTATATTTTTATATTTTTACGATGTTTACAATTTTACACTTTAAATTTTACAATTTTTACATTTTACAAATTTATACTTTTGACATTTTTTTGATATTTTTACATTTTTCAATTTTGGTCAAAAGTTGTCGCATAGCAACAACTTTTTGTAATAGGGGGGAGTTGTTATATGGCCATAGTAACTACGCAGTTATTATACAGGGTGGTCCATAAGTCCTTTGAAATTTCAAATTTGAATAAAATTTAACAGGTGAGCGTGAGCGGCGCGGGCGAGGTGGAGGCAGTATCTTCAGTGTTTGGGAATTCAGTCGCCATGGAGTGTTTCACTGGAGCGGATCGTGCTTTTTGTGTGCGCGCGTTTTATCAAAATAATGATTCGGCAACCATTGCGCGGCGTAAATATCGAGAATACCACAATTTACACAATTTTACAAAGTGTCCAACAGCTCAAACGATTAAGAACTGGGTTGCTAAGTTCGAAGAGACTGGTTCTACGTTAGATAAACAGCGGTGGGGTCGACCAAGGACAACTCGTATTGAAGAAAACATCAACATTGTGGCACAGTCTGTTCGTCAAAATCCTACCCAGTCTACTCGTAAGCGTTCCAGTGCACTAAACGTACCCAGAACATCTTTACAGCGGATTTTAAGGAAAGATTTACAAAATTCAGTTAGTGCAGGAATTAAAAGATAATGACGCTATTCAGAGACTAAACTTTGCGAATGAAATGTTGAATCGATTTTCTTCGCTCAATAATGTGTTGTTCTCGGACGAGGCTCACTTCCATTTAAACGGGCATGTAAATAAACAAAATTGCCGTTATTGGAGCCCCGAAAATCCAAGGCGTAAGCATCAGAAGCCCTTACACAGCCCTAAAGTTACAGTTTGGGCTGCTATGTCAGCGCATGGCATCGTAGGCCCTTATTTTTTTGAGGACGACAGAGGTCGCGCATTAACTGTTACTTCGGAGCGGTATGTAGCAATGATAGAAGAGTTTTTGACACCAGCGTTGCAGAATTTTCCAGGCTATAATACGCAGACCTGGTTTCAACAGGACGGAGCAACTGCCCACACCTCCAACACTTCTATGCCCGTCGTCTGTCAACTTTTTCCCAGCAAAGTAATTTCTCGAAGAGGAGACATTTCCCGGCCACCACGTAGTCCAGATTTGACCCCAATGGACTTCTTTTTATGGGGCTACCTCAAGAGTAAAGTGTACGACACCACTCCGCGATCAGTTGATGCCCTGAAAGAAAATATCCGAAGAGAAATGGCAAGCATTACAGTGTTGACTTGCCGCGCAGTCATCGACAATTTTAGACGTCGCGTCGTTTATATGAGTGCCGTGATCGTAATGGATTGCATTTAGACGATGTGATTTTTAAAACATAATTCCCATTCAATAAAGATGATAACAAAATATAATAATTCTTCATAATGTAACTAGTTTGGTTTTATTCCTTTTTTTCCAGCTCAAAGGACTTATGGGCCACCCTGTACAATGTTGCACCAGACGCTGTGTCAGCATATGATAACAACTTCTTGCTAATCCGTTGCTAGAATAGTGCCTTTGCTGTTTTCTGATAATTCTTAGTCAGCTTTCTGAATGTATAAATAGGTCTCGCGGCCATATCCTGTCGTTCAATACCCGGTTAGACTCCGTAAATGTCACATTTGTAAACCTATGTATTTTATATGGACTGAAGCTTCAGTCCTCAAATAAAATTTTTTAAAAAGTTATTTCTAAATCTAATGATTTAAGATGGATATACCTCGATCAATAGTAAGAAAAATTTATGAATACCTATTTGATAGTTATCCTAAAAATAATAATTTTAGATAGGAAGAATGACAATAATGCAAGGATTACATCCTTATCATTTTAAACGGGTGAAGCATGTAACGGAGGCAGATTTTTTACCACGAATCGAGTTTTGCCAGTGGATATTAGCAAATGAAAACGCTATTCCTAGAATATTATGGTCGAACAAGTCAATATTTACTACACGTACTACAGCGGAAGTGAGATAAAACAGCCGATGGACGGTTGCAGGTTCGCGTTATCAGCGCGACGACGTTCCCATGCGGATGTGTGTCCGATAAGGTGAGGTGTAGTGTATAGAGGGAGAGTCAAGAAGGTTGTATACATGGTGAGTCAAAAAGTTGGGAGCGTTAAAAAAAAAAAAGATGGCGGTGTATGGACGACGTTCCCATGCGGATGTGTGTCCGATAAGGTGAGGTGTAGTGTATACAGGGAGAGTCAAGAAGGTTGTATACAGGGTGAGTCAAAAGGTTGGTAGCGTTAAAAAAAAAAAGATGGTGGTGTGTGTGTGTGTGTGTGTAGGCGGTACTATATTTGTGGCGACGTGTGTCTTACATAAAACTCTACTGTGGCTACTGCTGAAAATTGTGGCGACTTGCACACGTCGCCACAGACATTTTATGAAATTACTCGCTACTGGCTCATTTCAACCAATGAAATCGCTAGTTGGCGAACATCTGCCTGCCAGTCAATTGTGATCCTCAAGCATTCTTACCGTTGGATCAATTATTCTGCGCAAAAACCTGAAAAGTGTGTAAGTCGCCACAATTCGGTTTCATGAACAGTGCTCATACACACAAGATTGTGGAGACCATTTATTTTGCGACACGAGCGCCTCTTACTGAAACAATTTTAAATGATTTCACTGTTGCAGTTGTGTTTAATTTCTCATTTAATAGGAGAGAACACGTGTTATTAGTTCTGTGCGTGTTATGGTTTATTATAATTTGTGGCAACCTCAGGTAAGTTGAGCTATATATTATTTATTTTCCAAGTAGTCAGGTATATCTTGATACATTTGTACAAATTAATTAACTACATCATATGTGGTAGGAAAATAATAGTGATTGTATATCTTGCAAATGGAGGTTAGGTCAGACGCGGTAAAATGCCTTCTGTTAAAAGTCATAACGGTTTTACCAAATTAACCATATTTTTTGTCTCTAATACGTATTTATAGAGAGAGAGACAGCTCATTGTGATGGTTTCATCATGTACAAATTTCCAAAATGTAATACCCGAATGATGATTCATACAAAAGATCATATGTCTGCAGGTAGGGATGGTTTTCAACACCAATAGTTTATTGGTTTTGGACACAGAATAACGTTCAGTGAAGACGAAAATTTTGAGAATCACTTAATGATTTTCATGTGCATTTCGGAAAATGGATTATTGAACGTGTATTTTGTAGTGATGAAAGAACAGGATGGTATACTCAATTTTTCCACGTTTAAAAACCATTCAAAGGAACAGACTATACGCTCTATCTCGCGCGTCCGCATCTACCTTCAGCCTATCTCGCTCGCACTTACGGGAATGAGATTTTCGAAATTTTCCACAAGACGAAACCTTCACAATGGTCTGGCTCTCTACTGTCACCTTTTTACGAAATTACAACGGTTTTGTCAAAAAAAGTTGGCTTAATACTAATGCATCTTCAACATGGGCTGGCATCACCTCAATACAATACAATACAGTGATCTTTTATTAAATTTTCAAATGAGTACGATAACATTTTTTATCAACAACTTAAACAAAGTAAAACGCATAATGCAGACCGATGTTGATCAGCCTGCTCACCTGCCTTCGATTTATTTATTAATGCACAAGTTCACAAAATCTGCTAATCAATCTGTAGTATTGATCTTTTGATCATGGAATCTTGGTCCAATAGTATAAAGTGCTAGACTGGCCATTTATTGTTTGAATCAAAGCGCGACACGGTCAATACTGTCACTTAGTAGGGCGGCCAATTTTCAGGGTTAAAAATGTAGATTGGGATTAATTGGCAAATGATGATTTCGAGTTGCAATAAATATTAGGTATGATAATGTGCTTTGGTATCTCATATCTTGTATGGTACGGTTGCACGATGTTTTTCATACTGGTGTCGCTCCCAGTTTAAAGCTAAGCATTGCATCTTTTACAGTATATTCATCTTATTCATGATGTTATCAAGAACAAAAAGGATGGTGACCATGGCAAGGAACCAAGATAACCTGCCTTGTGAGTGTACAATTTTATTTTCTATATTAGAATGGTGTGATAAACTTGTATGGCAGCTCTCTCGTCTTTACATGTTCGCTTTGTTTCTATTTCATTTTAAATGATGTGCCAATATTAACCAAAATAAGTTAACATACAGAGTAAGGTTTTAGTTTGTGCTCGGTCGATAACTCCCTTATTACGCATGGTATCTAAAAACGTTAATTATAATAGATGTGGCTAACAGTACTTAATACTTAAAATATTTTCATTTCTACAGGGTGATTCATAACTACGTCGTGACCCAATTTTTGTTTTCTGTAGTGAAAAGACCCACATTTTATGGCAGATTTGGATAAGCCCTTCCAAACAAACCAAGTTGATTTAATATATATTGCGGTTTTATTTTTGAATTGTTGATATGTTGGAAAATATATCAACAAAAATACTAAGCTTTAATAACTCGCATCTCCGCAACTGTTATAGCTAGAGTATTGAACTCTTAGTCACTAGAATTTTATATCATATTGTGTTTCCATCCAGATACTTTTCTCTCTCACTCTTTCAATTCTCTTTCACAATTTTTTGATATTGGACCTAAGGGAGCTTGTACGACTGGTTTATGACTTACCGCTAACCTTTTTTCAATGTGAATAACTAATATTACATTGACTTTCAAAACAAGAAATAGCATTGAAATGGTAATGACACATTGTTAGAATTTGTGTATTTTTATCGACAATTAAATCTACCAAACCTTATCCATTGAAGTCGGACATTCAGGAAGGTGTCCTTGTGTTTTTAGTAGACTAAAAACCAGTGATACAAACACGTATTAGACCTATATCAGAAAAAAGCTTGTAACGTGTAGAATCAAAAGGTATGAAAATATAGTACACAAAGGTTATCTTTAACTCATAAACTAGTCATACAAGCCCTATAAGCCTGATTAAAAAAATTGCGTATTCGACCATCCTGCATACATTATAAAAAACACCAGACATAGAATCATGAAATTTCTCTGACGAAAAATTCAGTTCTCCAGTTATAAGGGCTATAGCTTTTTTCGATAAAATGTCCAGTATCTCAACAATTTCAAAAAGTGACTATGTAGTATATAAAATTTTCGTTTCAAATGGCCTATCCAAACCTGTCATACACTGTATAGAAATATTTTTTAAGTTAGGAGCATACTGCTATACTCACCCTGTATATCATAGTTTTTCAAAATTTGGTAGGCCGTCGGGCCTACAGTGAGTCGAAGAGCGTCTAATTCATTCACCAATAACATTAAGTTGATACATATGCAAACAACCAATGTTTTTTAAGCCGTTATATTATTGTCTTACATCTCGTAACTTGCTAAATCAGTCCAGCTTTTATTGAATTATATCTATCATTGTAGATCAAGAAAATTACTCTGTCTACTCAGAGGATAAGACTGAAACCGAAAACCTTCCGTCCACTAATTACGGTTCCTCCGCGGAAACACCGATAACAACTACAATTTACCCTGAAGTGGATCGAAAAAGAAATATGTTGAACCCAATATTTGACAATACTTCAAAGGCTGACGAAAACGAATCGGATGGAAATGTCTACTGGGACCCAGCGAGGGGATTACTGAGTATGCCTTTAAGCCCTTTGAAAGGAAATGAACGAGTAGAGAATTGGCTGCAAACCCCTCAAAACGATGCCCTTAAATCTGTAGAAACCAGCTGTGAAGATAAAAATAATGCACAATATACTGGAAGCGTAGAAGGGGTCAAGTCAGACACTATATTGAACGCTGGGAAAAAAATTGAGATAATACAAAATATTATTTTGAACTCTGATAATACTCGCAATATATTTTTACCTGCGGATGAAGTCAAAACCGTGAAAGAAAGGGCACGACGTGGTGAAAGCCTTCAAAAGGGTCAGAAAGCAGAACTGACGGACATAGAAAAGCGAACCCATTTTGAAGACGTTATTCCTAGACAAACAGATTTATCCGAGGAAGAAATTGTAATAAATACCGCAGAAAAGAAGGAGGGTAAGAGGTTCAGGAATAAAGTGCATTCATGTTATTTTTGTATGAAGCTGTTCCAGAATGTGCCAAGACATTTCGAAACGATTCACTCATCTGAAACGATAGTTGCCAAGGTATTGGCAATGGAGAAGAACTCCAAAATAAGAAAGAATGCCTTCGCAGAGTTGATACGGGTAGGTGACTTTAACCACAATTGCGAGGTTTTGTCACTAAAAAGAGGAGAGTTGATCCTAGTTCGGCGACCCACCGAGCTAGAGGCTAAGTCTCTATCTTACAGCGATTATGGACCATGTCCCAAATGTTTGGGTTTTATGCTAAAAAGACACCTCTGGCACCATACCCGAAATTGCGAGCTTCAAGGTAATGGAGAACCAAATGGTAGCAAAATGGTTGTTGCAGAGAGTAATGCAATTCTGAACGAAATATTTGGTAAACAGCTTTCTAGAGAATTTTCATTGGAGATACTTGGGAACATGAGAGAAGACGATGTTGGAAGATGCTGTGTTAATGATTCGCTTATAATAAAATTTGAGAATGTTTGAAAAATACGACGTCACTCAAGGGGCTCTTATTCGCCAATCAATGCGTCAACTAGGTAAGTAAGCTTTTTGCTGTTGTAATGCTGTTTAAATGAGTATGTCGTCAACTTAAATACCTTTGACATAAATAATAAAATAATTGTTCATGAAGCATGAAGCAGTATTTAAATAAAATTCTTCTGTTTTTTCCAAATTAAAGGTGGGGATGCTTAATTCTATAAACTATATGTGAAAAGTAGCATAAAAAGTATTGTCTCCTCTTCTGAATTCTATATCATGCTGATAGAACTCTCCATGTCTTTTTACCACATACATTTTTCGGATACCACGTTTTAATTTGAAAATGTCCACAGTGGTGGCCCAAATTTCAGTAAAAAGTAATTTATACATATGTAGGTTCATTCGGTTGAAAATTCATGGAGTAAGTAGAATATCGCTTGTTCATTAGGTTGCTTTCCCAACGCGGCATCAAAAAATAATGATGTTGCAAGGATGCATATTATTTGCAATTGTATCGAAAAATCATAATTACATGAAGGCTGTTATTAACTTTGAATAAGGAGAACGGGACCCAGCAGAATCTCTCAGAGTATATAATTCCCCAAAAATTTGATCAAATCGTTAAATCCACGAAAATACTTTGTGTTACTCACACCGACAGCGTTAAGAGACCCGAGTTTGATACACCATCCTTAGCTCTGAAAATTGGATACTCTCTCAAAAAGTCTGCTGCAATACAGAGAGGTGTTGCACTTAGAAATGGCGATCTTAAGGAAGACGAAATTGTAAAAGCGTTTTTAAACCTTCTGGAGATGGAATGGGCATCACGCATATCTTCCAATGCTCTTAATACTTTGTACAGCCGAAAGATGAACAAAACTCAACTACTACCTATCACTGAAGATCTGTTAAAGCTTAACACATTCATTAGTAACTCTATCAAAATGTACAAGGAACGCCTACAGACATTTTCAGATTCCGATAGCTGGAAAATGCTAGCGTATTGCTTACTGGCAAGAATAATACTTTTTAATAAGCGCAGATCTGGGGAAGCCGCAAGAATAACTATAGATAGCTACAACTCAAAACCTCAATGGAGTGAACAATCCACGACTGAATTGAAAAATTCCCTAACACCATTTGAGGTGAAACTTGCCGAACGATTAGCGGTAGTAGAAATTCCTGGGAAAAGGGGCAAGAAAGTACCAGTTCTTCTTACGGATGAGGTTAGGGTAGCGCTCGACTTGTTAATATCAAAAAGAACAGATTGTGGAATATCTGGTAATAACCCATATATATTTGCTTGCTCGAAGAATTCGACTCAATCCTTAAGGGGGCATGATTGTCTTTCGAAGATGTGCAAACTGGCTGACTTGAGAAATCTTGAACTGATTACAGCTACTAAGCTAAGAAAATATGTGGCTACCGTATGTCAGGTATTTATGTTATAGGAAAAATGTCATACATTATCTCAACCATTTTATGCAAAAGTCGATTGAATTCATTATATTGCTTTTCGGACACAATGAGCAGATTTTACTTTCAGTTTTAGTAATAATGCATTATACCTGAATGCTATTCAAACAAATTTTATTTCCATACTACACTATAAAAACGATTTTTAAATTTTCAAAAACTACAGCACCTCTCTAACCACCCATGTGGGAGTCCATTGTATTTATGAACTGTGTGCAATAAATATTGAATCATGTTAAATACCTAACATTGATTTTGTATTATTGAAGTAAGGATAAATTTTGATATTGTGAGATGAGTGGCTAATACAAAGCTCAATCAATCCGGAACCAATTTAACATACCCGCTACCTAACTCACAGCATCGGAATCCATCACCAACTTTACTTTAGTATTACTGCAACACCCCACGTTATCTGCATTTTAATTTTTTTTTGATCTTAGGAGGTTGACGCCGGTTTATTTCCCACGCTACCGTCAAAGTTTTGCAATCGTGAAAAATGTCTAAAATGAGATATTGTTAGACGTATATTAGAAAAAAAGATATCACTCATTTCCATCGCTCTGTCGGTCTATCTATCTGTGTGCTTATCCTTGACCCCGCTATAATTTGGAAAGGACCGGACGGATTTCCATGTAATTTGCAAACAAGGCTACTACTGTGCCAAAGACAAAAATGGGCAAACTCCATAATTTAATTTTGTTCAAGCAATATTGTTTTTTACTGATACTTATTCTAGTTTGTGATTTTATACAAGAGTACACAGGGGTACAAGAGATAGATATTTATTCAAAGTCCATTTATCCAGAATTGCGTGGGAAATACCGAGTCAATCTACTAGACATCAATTCTTATAATACCTTAAAGCATGTTATTCTATATTAAAGATGTTTGATCTGACTGAAACCGAATCTGACTGGTTAGCAAGACATTTGGGCCACGACATACGGGTCCACAGAGAATTTTATCGCTTACATGAGAGCACCGTGGAACTGACCAAAGTTAGTAAATTGCTGATGGCGGTTGATGAAGGAAAAGTGAGCACCTTCGCTGGGAAGTCACTAGCAGATATAGAGATAGACGGTAAATGATTTATCAACATATGTAAGGTAATTTAGGCATATTTCTTATTTACTGGTGCGACACGATAAAGGTAAAAAGGACAATTCGTTACCGCTTCAATATGGATAAGTAAGGTATCAATTTTATTCCTTACAGTTTTATCGCGACCCTACGACAAATGGGAAGAGTTTAGGCTTTCATATTTACCAGCGCTTATTGGTAAATTGCAATCCAACCGACCACATCAATAGCAAATTTTCGTTCAAGTTACTTTGTCTAGGAACTAGAATAAATTATCAAACCCAATTAATAACAGGCGAAACTCAAATGTAATAAGTCAGCTGTGTTTGCAGATGTACCACAAATAGAGAGAAATGGTGACGTGTGTCTTACATAAAACTCTATTATGGTGACTGCTAAAAATTGTGGCGACGTACACAGGTCGCCACAGACATTTTATTAAATTGTTCGCGATAATTAGAAGCTGCAACCGAAAATTACCAACCCAATAAATAACAGGTTAGTTTTAGATGTAATAAGTCAGTTGCTTGCAGATTTACCACAAATAGGGGAAAGTGAGAATGGATCGGATTGTGAGGCAGAGTTGGACGGTCAAACTTCACCGCAAGACAATCCACCTACAGAAGTCTCAAAGAATGCATCTCCTACAGAACTCCCAAAGAATGCTTCTCCAAAGCGGACTTTACAGAAAAGAGGTAACCTTAAATTAAATGCACAATTTATACCTATATTCATCTATGCTTCGGATGCATAAGCAATCGCGAATATATCCTTAAATCCTAATCTTATTCAATGAGGTTTTTTTGAGATTTCGGAATGTCCCAATCACGCAGCTTCATCTCAATTACTTCCATTGGTTTGCCTGACGCTCAGATGTCGATGGTACCGGTCCATTTATTTGTCGGTTCAGCGGCATTTGGCAAATTGACTGTGGAGCAATAGCTTGTACTGATTTACTTTCTCGGGAACGCTGTAGCTTGAGCGACAGTAATTTTCTTACAACACGACTATTTTTCTGTCTTAGGTAAACAACCATGGACACCAAAAGAAAAGGAAACTGTCCTGACCTATTTCAAAATTAATATCAGGAACTCAATAGTACCAGGGAAAGTAGACTGCATGAAATGCATCGAAGCACATCCTCTGCTGGATCAGAGAGACTGGAAGAAAATTAAATATGCAGTGAAAAACGTCATAGATAAAAACAAAAAGCTAAAAAAGAAACATACAATGTAACAAGTTTTAATTTTGGTTTTTTTTTGCTCTGCAATACAGTAAGAAGGGCCTGTAAGGCTATTTGTTGAACTAATTAATTTTTTAGGGAAAAAAATCCTAAATAAGTTTTATTATTATTCTATTCATTGTGTAGCTACTATTAACATGCACAAAATAAAGCCTTAGGGTATGAAGTTCATGAAAATTGGCCTTAAAGAATTATTCTAATAAATTGTTGTTTAATGACTCAAATCGACTAAGACTTCCTAGGAGAGACCAATTTTTTCATACCTTTTCGCCAGGAAACAAACCAAGTCATAAAGAGGCCTTAGAGACCCTCCTTTTATAAAGATGTATCTGTACGTGTTTATTTTTTATTTAGGATACTACTTTACGTTTCGTACAGCGTATATTTCTTGCACTGTAAGAGATTTTAAGTTTTTGGGTGGGTCCACATGGATCCACAGTGAGAACACGACTATTACCAGAGATCAGACAATATCAACACGACCTTACATAAAACCTGATTTCATTGGTTGCTAGGAGCTGTGTTATAATAACCAATCCGTATGCGCGTATCTTTGTGGACTCACCCTGTATATTTTTTATGTTGTCTGATTGTGTTCACTGACATTTACATGTTAAAGTTTTGGATGACATTAATTGTTTAAAAAATAAAGAATTAAAACTATATTGCGCCTGCCATCAACCGCATTTCATCCTCATACATTTTTGGTATTATCTTGAAATACCCAGGATTCTTGAAGTACATCCTACCGTATACGTATCCTTAAAGCCAATGAGAGTATCGTTTGATATGTGCTTGAATATCACTTATATATCATTGTGGCGACAAACCGATATGACAACATTGCAAAAACTAAACACTCCTATTATGGAGACCTGAAGGTACACACAGCTCATCTTTCAATATTAGTGGCTACTCATACACTCTGTTCACAAATGTAGGTTGTTATGACACCCGTAGCCACAATATAATTTAGCTGTTTTTAATTGTTAAACGGAGTGTATACCGTTTTTATTGATACCAGACTACTGCGACTGCGCACGCACTGAAGAATGTTCAGGAGAAATTTCATCGAAATCGCCACAATTGAGGACTATTCACGCGTCGCCACAAGAACCTAGGCGCCTGTATGTGTGTGTGTGTGTGTGTGTGTGTGTGTGTGTGTGTGAATCACTGCGCCATCTAGCGGGGGGCCCGCCAATCAGAGCACGCGGTGGGCGTGGCCAAAGTGGAAGTGGTGGGGGGTGTCCAAAGTGACCGGTCTTCTACAGATTTTATGTTTCTAGCCATTGCTCCAGAGTTTTCAAATTACCGATTATACATATTGCACATGATATGTTTATATGGAAACTAGACTTGAACGAAATGATTATCCCATCTCAGCCTGATCTTCTTGTCGATCATATTCCTACAGAATTACGTCAATACACTTTACAACATATTTTCCAATCAACAAACGGTGATTTGATTACAATTGTCTCCCCAAACAAATATTGCTCACCATTAGTCCTACCATGCACGTGACGTCCGTGACAAGTGACATACGTGACGTACGTGACGTATGTGGTATACGTGACACGTAACGTATGTGACATAAACGTTATAGTTATAAATTATTTAATATAAGACTTCATACATGTATCACAATCTAGTTTATGCGACTTGTATGGACCATCAATGACGTCACAACAGTTGTCGTTTGCCGAAGTATGATCATCCCAGCAGGGTTCTAGTAGCTCATCTAATAATGTTGATGGAATATTTATACCCATAGTTGCACACGCATGCTTAATAAATATTCGTTTGAAATGATAATCGCCAATATATTTGGTGGCATAACGAAGATCGTCCAGCTGTTTACGAAGAACAACAACAAATGTCATTTCTTCTGCTCGGAAGGTATAAACAAACTAGAAGTTTGATGATCAGCAGCGATATACAAACAGCTATGTAATAAACCATATATGCTGGCAGCTTATCTGTATATTCTTTAGGCGTCTCATTTAGTGGTGGTGGGGATGGAAAATAGTTCCACGCAGTATCGTTGTAGTTGTGTTCCTGAAGTACGAATCGTAATTTATATTCGGTAACATGTTCTGGCACTGTAACTTCAAATGCTTCAACATCATTGTTGAGCATAGTAGCAGACATGCGCTGCCATCTTGAAGGCCAACTTTCGTTTTTGGTATTATTTTCATTAAAACAAATGAATATTTCCTCCACTCTTAATGGATGTTGAACGTGAAAAACACCGTTCACCAAAGCACATAGTAGTACAATATAATTAGGTGTTAATGCAACCATGATTAACGATTAACTAACGTTTAGGAAGGTAATCATTACATTATATAAAAAAACACCAAGATAAGCCTAATACATTTTTATTGATATATGTAATTACAATTAATTAATTAAATGTATTCTTAGTGATAATTTACAATTTAAACGTTGAAATCTTTCATAATTGTGAAACACATTTCGTCTCCATTTAGCCTCGTCGTCGTCGTCGTCGTCGTCATCGTCATCTTGAATGGATAACCGTTGTAGTGTTTCAAGTGTATGCTTTGTATCTTCATATTGACGAATTTGCTGTTTAATTACTCGAATATTTTCAATGTGATGTCTCGGAAGCTCTTGCTGCTGCTGCTGCTGCTGCTGCTGCATGTTTGAACGTATGAGTGAATTACATAGGTAGACCCATTCTTTGATTTTGAGACAGTTATTCAGAGCACATATACCATATACGCTATCATGATTCAAACACAGTGGTATACATTTCTCAATTTTCTTACATTTTGTGGTGGTGGTGGTGGTTAAACGCGAATCACAATCTTCAACATTGATAATATTGGGCTTAGTAATTTGCATATCATTTAATCTATCGATTAAAAATTGACGTTTGCATTGTCCTTTTACGTATACCATATCCACATCAGCCAAATGACTCCTGAGGATTTCATTAAGTAAACTATAATCCACGTAGCCCTTCTCCTATCTGAGTCCATGGTACCGTTCAGTATACCGTATCGTAGCTTTATCTTTAGAGGTTAATGAACTGTATTTATTGATAGATCTGAATAAGAAATAATTGCTTTGACTTCCAACCAGTATCGACATTTCTTTAACCACAAAACCATGATTGTGAAGATAAAATCCTTGCAGATCAACAAAGCACATTGTAGCCATTGTTGGTTCTATTCGATAAACTACAAGTAAATGATCGAATCAAAGGGATGATTTTACATACATTGTTTAATTATTTCGGAGAGGGGATGCAGTTCCATTACACAATCATGAATAATAATACAGTAAACACGTGTATTGGTGGGGAACCCTTTTGCCGATTCAATGTCTAATTTCACATCTACTGTTGTCGATTTTATTGATTCGCTACGTTTATAGCAGTCAATAACAAAAATGGCACGATTTTTAAATGATGAATAGTCAAGTAGTGCAGGCTTGAATGAGGTATTTTTATAACTCGGATAAAAATCTATATAATTCATGTGAGCGTCCACATAATCGTTTTTATCAAAGTCAAATCTCAAACGCTCATGGGGATAGTATTCCCCATTTATGAACAGTCGAACGTCTGTTACATCAATATGATCAAATAAAGTTGGATCCTGATTAAATTTATCGATATTATCTGTTTGAAAAGCCGCTATTACATATCGTGGACACTCTATAGCAGCACACGTTTGTATCTGCCATATTTCACGTTTAGCATTAACTGTTAGAGCTGGAAGTTCGTGTAAAGACCACTTTCTGTATGGTGCATACACCGGCTTATCCTTTTTAATATTTTCTAGTAGATTCACTTTAATCACATCATTGGGGTAAATATGTTTTACTAGCAGTTTGATCTCAGCAATTTCAAGTTTGGCTTGTGTAGTACCGGCGGCGCCAGCAGCTTCAGCAATAAGCATACAGTTATTATCATTACGTGCCCTCAGTATGTTTCCCATATGCAGCAAATTTATAGTCATTAAAATAATTCAGTAAGTGTTTAAGTGGAACTCTTAGGCTAAAATAGCCTGTGGTAGCATCAATAATAGATACAGAAGGATAGTTCCATCCTGTTGTGGCTAAATGTCTTGAATCGTTAATACTGTAACATAAGTATCCTCGAACGGTGCTTACAATACCGGGATTTCGAACGGTGTCCAACATGGATCCATTAAGTTCGTATGTACAAGAGTCGAAGAAAAACGCTCCGGCATTGTTCACAAAGGAAACTGTTCCAGCGCCAGCAGTTCTTTTTAATTTCCCCTTAATTACAATAGCGGCATCATACATCAAAAGCCATGCATCACTCTGATTAATAGTAATGGTGATTTCATCGTTAATGAGAAAAGACGGAATATACGGTCTATATGTGAACTCTTTAACGCCTTTTATTGTATCATCAAATATCGGTTTTTCGTAAACGTCGAACACTTGACTTGACAACATCGTAATTGAGGGATTGTAAAAATAATCGGCTATAGTAAGTGTGGACTGCAGCAGCACGTCAGCACTCTTCGAATGACCACTACCAACTGATAGAGCATTAACCGGAATATATTGTTTATATTTGTGTTTTTTGGGGGGATGGTGGGGTGGAATCACCAAAACCATTATAATTTTTTCAACTCCCAACGTATGATGATTTCTTCTCCTCTAAAGTTCACTAATTCAAAATTTTGATCGAGCATCACTAAAGTAATGTTATTTATTTCACGTTGATTCACTGGTAGATAAATCAAGTTTTTAGGACTTTCGTTAATTGCACACCCAGCCTCGTCTGTAATAGAGAATTCGTATATGGTATGTGAAGGTCTATCGTTGTAGAAAGCTCCAACAGTAATATTGCTATCGACATGGATAGTTCTAACTTTAACTATATTAACGGGAAGATCTGATTGGTGATAAATCCTAGGTTCCAAGACTCTTGATGGAGAATATCCTAAAACGTATGCGATGGAATCCTTTGGTTGAAAGTTAATGCCATGCACTGAACACTTGTGCATATTCAGATTAGGTTTCAGCGAAAAAACGTCTTTCACTCGATCACCACCCTCACCACCACCACCGTCAACAATGTGTTTCTTAATATAGGATTCAATATCTTCTATTTCATACGCACCCGTAGGAATGACGATATTTTTTTCTCGATTTTTGTTGTTGTTCTCGTAATAATAGAATTTATTGTCAATGTTAGGTACACTATTATAGGAATAAAAAGACAATAAACTCAAACCGTAATCGAACCCATCCTCTAATCTAATCGGATTCACAAAATCAATGGACAACGTTGACGTATGACTCTTCAAGGTGAATATCTGAGACATGACTGAGAGAGGCTACGGTGGGTCAGTTAGTTTTATAGAGAAATTCCAAACAAAGGTGACCGCAGATGCTTTGATCATAATTTTGATAACAGTCATTATTGTAGACGATAGCAGCATTTAAATATTTAACGAGTTCACGTGGAGGTTTAAGATTACCAAAACTATCAAAATACTCAGCTACGTTACCATTTTTTCTGTATGCTACCCAATGCGTTCCTTTGTTCTTTTGTTCATCTAAGTTAATTATACCGCATTCGTTTGTTCTAGCACCACCTCTAAACCGTTGATTCCAGGATGACCTCGTCCTAAGCCGTTTTTGAAGATGAGTTCCAGGACCGCAATATTGGTACTTAGGTAGATAAAGCTCAATGGGAAGCCGATCGATTAGCGAGTTCAGAACACCTTCTCCTTCTCCTCCTCGCTTGGATGCTAACATAATAATGAGCACACGCACATTTTGTGATTATATTTATAATGATCTGCATCACCTTTAAGTGTGTCAGTCAATATCGAAATGCGTATTCAGCAACAAGCAACTGCACTACCTATCGAAAATTTAGATGCAAATATGGAAAATTATTACCGAATTCATTCAGAGCCATATTTTGTGGACCTAGTGGATGTGGCAAAACAAACGCAGCCTTGAGTTTGCTGTTCAATCGTAACGGTCCACGTTTTCAAAATGTCTTTGTCTACTCTAAAACATTGCTACAGCCCAAATATACTTTACTACAAAACGTTTTAGCGAAGACAAAATGCGTTAAATATTTCCCATATAAAGATAACGAAGAAATTATCGATCCATTAGAAGCACCGAATAACTCTATATTTATTTTTGATGATATTGCATGCCAAAAACAGCAAAAATGTAGGGAATATTTTTCAATGGGTAGACATAAATCGGTTGATGTTATGTACCTATGTCAAACGTATTCTAAAATACCGAAACAGCTTATACGTGATAACTGTAATGTTATAGTTCTTTTCAAACAGGATGACAAGAATTTACGGCATGCATTTGATGAACATGTTTCACCGGATCTTACCTATGAACAATTTAAGGAAATGTGTTCGCGATGCTGGCGTGAAAAATATGGTAATATAACGATAGTTAAAGATTTTGAATTGAAACATGGACGATATCGTAAGGGTTTCGATAAGTATATATGCGTATGATATCTGTCTCTGAACATCAGTTTTGCATGAGATGAAGAACGCCACACAGTAGTCTCTTGCAGAGAAAAATTCAACAACTGTCTAGAGATGTTAGACGAAAGTATTTAGCTTTGAAAGTCTGACGAGGATGAAAATATTAAGAAACTCTTTCGACCAATAACCGAACCGCTTCAGCAAATAGCGAAAAAGAAAAACGATGATTTGAGTATAATTAAAAAGGAAGACACGAGTGATAAAGAAGAAGAGGAAATTAAGATGGCTGATGATGATGGTGATGATGATGATACGTTTTTCGAACCTGAAGATACACCCTTCATGTCACAGTATCCAGAAATAGCTCGGGAGCCAGTGCAGAAGTTTTGGAGTAAATCTAATACAATTGATCTAGTATATGGACCAACTTATGATTCTGTAGCATCTCAGTGGCGTATCGGAAGTAAACATATGAATTTTGATACACATACGGGTGATATAATTATAGATAGTAACCGATTTCGTGGAACACAAGGACTTTATAGTCTAATTTTCTACAAAAACCCTAAATATGATCAAAATGATTTATCAGACTACAAAAAGATTTTAAATATATCTAATGTACACAAAGATAGCCGTCAAAGTTTAAAAGGATATACTATGTTCAAATATATTAATATAATTAAACCATTATGCACAACAACAATAGGGTCTCAAAAAGCTCGGTCAACGTCGTCGTCGTCGTCGTCACAGCATACCGGACAAGGAATGTATTTGACTTATAACGACAAACCCATAGAGTATGTATATTGGGATGATGTTAATGAATTTGTAGATAGATTAAAATTATTAATTGCTTCGCAAAGCGCTGGTAATACATCGCAAAATAATGAAATTGTTGCCATTATAAATGAACTGAAAGAAGCTGGTATTATAAAGGAGCGTGTATAGATATATCCGATGACAGTATCACGATGAGCATCAACAAGTTTGGTCAGTATGTTGGTGGTGGTGGTGTACATCATTCCATACAACGTCGACAACAACCACAGTTACCTTTCGAAGTAAATGCAGAAGGAGAAGTCAGCTTTGAAAATTTGAAACTTAGTTCTATAGTGCCAATAAATGGGAAAGATATAGTAAATAAACAATATGTAGATGGAGAAATTAGATCTTAAAACAGTTATGTAGATAATGCGCGTATCAAAGTGAACAAACATGTAGATGAAGAAATGGGATCTTGTAAGCGTTATGTAGATAATGCGCTTATCGGAGAGAACAAAAGACGTAAAATTGATAACCAAAATAATAATGAGACATCAAAAGCGCTAAAAGATCAAATTGATATTTTAAAAAGTGTCATTACTGAACAGGAACTTAAGCAAATTAGTCACGATAAAATTTTAAATAAACAAGGTCGAAGTCTTGCTGATTTAGATAAACAATTAAATATCTTGAATCAAAACCAAAGAACTTTTAGTGATACAGTAGAAAAAATGAACAACAACATTAATCCGAAGCAGCTTGTATATATCAATGACTTAAATAAAATGATGGAAAAGTTAAGCTCAGATATGAAAATCGTTATCGGTGACGGAGCAAACAAGGTACGGAGGGAATTTGATCTCAAATTTAAATCAATCGAAGATGGAATTATGAATTTCTTAGAAAACCCCCCCTCCTCCCCAAATACCATAAAGAGATAATTAAAGTTATAGCGATATAATAAACAGTTACTTTTTAACCATGAAGCATAGTGCAGAAGAAGTACAGCTCGTAAAAGAATTACACAAACCGCTAAGAAGAAACTTCAAAAGACGTCGGACCATCGTTCTAGGCTTAAATGATTTATATCAATCCGATTTATGTCAACTTGATCAGTATGCCAAATATAATAAGAATTTCAAGTTTATCCTAGTAGTCATAAATTGCTACTCAAAATTTCTATGGTGCAGACCGCTGAAAACAAAATCTGGTGAAGAAGTCACCAAAGCTTTTGCTGATATACTTAAAGCTATAAGTCCGACGCCGAAAAACTTACAGACAGATCAGGGGAAAGAAATCTATAATGTACATTTTAAGCATTTGATGAAAACTCACAATATAAATCACTATAGTACATTTACTCATATCAAAGCTGCTATGGCTGAACGTGTAGTGAGAACATTGAAAGAAAAGTTATTTAAATATTTCAGCTTGAATGGTACCTATAGATGGATAGACATTTTACCAGATATCGTTAAGGCTTATAACAACCAAAAACATCATATTATTAGAATGAAGCCAGTCGATGTTAAAAAGAATACGAAAATTGCAGCTTTTGACCATATAAAAATAGCTACTGACCTGCGTAAATTTAAAGTTGGTGATTTCGTGAGAATAAGCAAAGCTAAACATGTATTTGAAAAAGGATACACATCTAACTGGACAACCGAGCTATTTAAAGTTGCAAAAGTACAAATAACCAATCCAGTTACACATTTATTGAATGATTTGGATGATAATCCAATTATGGGTTGTTTCTATACGCAAGAATTACAAAAAGCGAAAAATCCAGACGTATATTTGGTTGAGAAAGTTTTAAAACGAAAGGGAAATAAGGTATATGTAAAATGGCTTGGTTTTGATGCAACACATAATAGCTGGATTGATTCAAAAAATCGATTATAATATTCCCCCACCATCTTCCCCCCACCACTATCACCAGTCTATAATAGAATTGGAAAAATGTATAATAGTTGAGTGAAGACGTTTGAGTGTACCATGTCTGAGCCGCCGCCACGTCTATACCAAGAAGAAGAAGAAGAAGAAGAAGAAGAAACATTTTAAAGTGCTGAATTAGACCGTGTGTTGAGAATGTACGAAAATGCAATTCAGATGGAACGTTACTACATTTGTAATATGACACTGAAATGTGGACAACTATATCAAGTCCACTGCGGTCTGAGTTCTGCAAGAAACTTTGAACCCTCCGTGAAAATTGAATACAAACCTGACGATACTGGAAATGTTCACATATCATTTAGCACCTTTGAATGGCCGATTTTCGTGAATCACTTAAAACGGTTCAGGTTTGAAACGTTGGAGGCAGCAGCAGCAGCAGCAACAGCAGCACCGACATCAAAACTTACCTGTGGTGAAAATATTGAAATCTCTGGACTTGTATGTGATGGAATCAAGTTTGTTACAGTGTCCAATGGTCATGGTACTTTTTACTTTACACAACAAGAAGTGCAAGAATTAGTGAGAATCGACTCGATTGTTAGTTTTAGAATTGAAATGTTAAGTGCTATCAATTTTTTAAACTATTATCATAATGTTCTAGATACTATATGTTGCTTACTTAAAAACAGTAAGCATATTTTAGCTCCTATAGACGTACTAAGGTCTTTTTGTGGCATATCATCAAATTCTATTCAAGCGTATTGTCTCAGAGAATGTTTATATTTCAATATTGATAAAGCTTTACGAAAAATAAATGTTTAAAAAAAATGTTTAATTTCATACACATACACACACACACACACAAATGAAACAACGAACTTGTAATTTCACATGTATTCAAAATTATCTACATAGTAGGTACATTGATTCAATACATGGGCAGTTACAGTTATATCATAAATGGAGTACGGTACATCAATAAATTTTCTTTAGATACCCCCTATATAAAGGTATGATTTTAATCGTGTTAACATCAAATAAACATCGATCAAAGTCATCATAGTCACTTACATGGTATAGCGGTAACAAACATAAAGTACAATAATTGGAATCGTTTCGTAGTACACATTCTAGCATTAAACCTCCAGCAACTTTTGAGAAAGTTTGATATATTGTTATAAAATATGGTTGATTTGATTATTCTGGTACAGTTTTCCAAATTTCAATCTTCACAAAGATAACTTTTATGTTCACTTTGAGTTACGTGTGGTAGATTAAGATTTGCTAATCGGTATTCATTACGTACAACTATATTCCATTCCCACCAAAATTGATAATCTTCCTTATAAGTTCTCAACAACATAGCATGTTCGAGGGTTAATAGTGCCCAAGTCCAATCAGAAACATCCTCAGGAGTACAATGGAATAAATCATCAAAAACGCGTTCCCAATTTTTGTATATTTTAAAGTTTTAAATAGATATTTTATATAGACTTGTTTAGGTAGAATTTTTTTCAACAATATTACAGATGACTCACATATACGCTCATGATATTCACCCGTGAATAACTCAGTAATGCAATTGACAGCGGCAACACATTCTAGTGCAGCGTCAAATAAGCGTTTTGGTTGAAACACCTGTGAAAAACAAAAAAAAGCTTTAGGTTTCAATTATAGAATAATGACCCCATGGTAGGGTATCAGTTGAATTATTAATCAAATAGCGCTTATCATCAAATATGTTCAATGCAATTTTAGTTATGTGCAAATGATCTGATGATACTTTGATCAGCGACTTTTTCTTTATTTTCGTTCAAGCAGTCGACGTAGTCTTGAAAAGAAATTTGATTTTTAACTACATTGTATTTGACACCTTTTGACTTTTTAATGCATGTGGTTCCTTCAATTAGGTACGAATACATTTTCGATCTTAATCCAACGAAATGTGTCATTAAACGACCTTTTGTTTCGTCTTTCATCAAACCAGGAACTTTCTTATTGACCAACGGTATTCCATAAATATTTTCCGTAGGATAGTCACTTGTGTCAAATTTTTCGATATCTTTTTTAATCACTTCCTGATAAACATCATCACAATGTATGTGATAGCAATACGAATCAGTATCAGTATAGAGAATCTTACAATCATTACTGTTGAATTTTTGTAGCATATAACCATAATGAAACTCATACATGTAAGTTTTGGAAATTTCTAGAATAGCTACACCAACATATATGGGTCTATTGAATACAATATTAGTTTTATTCATTTCAATAGTCATGAAATCTTCATCAAAAATTGCACGACTATGAAATGCATGATTTGATATTAAATTTTTTGCACCATAACGGCCCGCCCAGCTAGAAACCAACTTTACTATACGATGTTTGCGCAAATTTTCCAAAGTTTTTCCAAACGTGGCATTAGTCATTCATTTGTACAAGTTCTGCTCAAACTTTGATGTTGCAACAGTCCGCAACTTCAACTCAATATAAGACTTAAGCCAAGCGCTTTGTTTAAATTTCAAGACGCGATGAATTTTAGTTAGCTGAAGTCCAAATTTTATAGCTTGCTTTAAATTACGATAATGTATAATGTATTTGTTTTTGTCATACAGTGTTGTCATTCATTTTGGTAGCTTCGACCCTGGTGGAACACGATGCTCAGGACATAAGGGATGATCTTTATGCATATCATGGAGATGTTGGGGATATTTCAAATCGACCTCTAATATATAACCTTCAGGCGAATCATCAGGAATGGAGGTAACGTCAATATTAGCATCTATCCACTCAAAACCGTCATAGGATAGATACTCCTGCATGGCACTAGCGTACACCGCATTGACGTCCAGATAAAGCAGATAAGATGAGGGTTTCTTTGGGTCATAATTCTGAAGGTATTTATTATTAGCTTCAGCATATCTATTGGCACATTGACTAACACCTCCACGAATGCCCTCCTCTAAGAATAAAAGTATATCGACATCTTGAATGGTACTCAATTGACACTTAGTATATTTTAACATACAATTCCATGTATATCCTGGCATTGTGTAATACCAATCTGGGTCTAATCCGTATGTATCATGAGCTTTATGTCGAAAATTTTCAAAAACATCAGTTAACAGCATTATATCAGTCTTTAAATATAAATCAGAATATTCACCAATATCCTTAAGCTTAAAATGAGTGAACACTTTTTGCGCATGTGCATAATCATCATCTGAAATATCACAATCATTTAGTTTATTGTGAAATGCTTTAATATCAGGAAGAGTATGTTCTTTCAATTTCTTATACGAATCTATATAATCATAACAAAATACACCCTTACGCATAACAAGTTTCAAAGAATCATCATCATCATAATCAAAATTACTAAATTCCTTTTTTAAATTTATCCGCAGTAAGCGTTGATGATAATTCATCTAAAGATGCCCCTAAAAATCGAAACGAATCTATAAACCGAAATTTTATATCAGTTTCATCATGGACTTGAGTAAAGGTTATATATTTTTCCTTGTTAACTGGTAAACACGTTAGTTTGTTATGCTTCGCTAAATGGGGGTATTATAAAGTGACTATCATACCCTGAAAGGTTATGGAACACCACCGGTATGGAATAGTTCTTTTTAAAATTGAGGTTACACTGCTCATGCGCAAAGCCTTTCTGTTCCCCGGTATAATGATCATGATCAACTACGATTTTATCCGTAGATTTGAAACTATTTTCACATATATGGCAACAAGTTCTATCCATAGACGGATTCACAACGATTGGAATGATATTTTTATTTTTCGATTGAATAAACTTTGCTAATTCGTCCAACTGATTTTCAAACCAAACCATGCAATCTTCACCTCTGAACGATTTGTAAAAAGATAAGGTATCATCATAGTTACACTTAAAATAATATGCTGCACTGAAAGGAACATGTTTCTGATATTTTTGAGTTTTTGAAAAATTTTGTGTGTGTGTTTAATATAGACTCAAAATCAGCATACATGATAAACGGTAGGTAGTTTTTGTTTGGTAATGAAATTCTTGAATTGTATATGCTTTTCTGAGGAAAATGAAATCCTACAGTTATTTCTCTTAACGCAATATTCATCATGTTGAACTAGCTGCTCTTTGGATGAAAAATAATTGAGACATCTATCGCAAATAACTTTTTTCCCATGGTGCTTATTTGTCTGTGATGAAACTAGACGGGATAAATTTTTTATCCAACAATAATGATATGTAATAGGAGTATCGTTGGGTATATTTTCACAATTATTTGGATAATATATGTTTTGAATCAGTAGTAGATTTAAATGTTTTGTCCTTTTATTTTTACATAATCGTGCTGGTGAGGTAACATAGTTATTTTTGCTTGTTAATTCTAAGATGAAAATATTGAATGAAATGTCAATATTTTTTTCGAATCTTGTAATGTCAGCTAATGATACAGGTGTTTCAATACCATCTAAATTAAATATGCCCGAGCTGTAATGTGGATAAGAAGAGCTTCTGTCTGCATTCACGGCTACCGGATATAAGGCGGATATTATTGCCCAAAGAAAGCATGCGTTATCATCATAATTTTTTACGTTAACGCAAGCATTTTTAATTGCAATCTGTTGAGGAAGTCTGATATAGGATGATCCAGCATTATTGCTAAAGCCAGATTGATTAATATTCACTTCTAAATGTATTATTTTACTAAGCGCGAAACCGCTATCTTTTTCACTAAATTCCTGCAGTTTATTAAAAAATTTTTCGATAACGAACTCAGCAAACCATTCGGTGAGGGTAGTATCGCAATCGATAAATTCATTTTTCGTATTAAAATATTTCAATTCTGATCTCTCTTCTTCTTCATTTACTGCTTTTTTAATAAATTCCCCGCAAAATACCGTGTTTACTTTGATCATCAGACATGTTTTTAAAATGTTTGTTATACGAGATTTAAATAGAAAAAATGCATCATTTAAAAACTGAACTATATCTTTGTGTTTCAAATTGATAGTGACTCCAGTACGAACTCTACTGGAAAATGCCGACTGAACATCCTCCCATTTTAGTCTATCGCTACGTTTTTTAGAAATACCTCGCCCACAATGAGGACCTAACAAGCTTTTGAGATGATTTCTAAAATGTTTAAAATAACAAAGATCGCTCTGGAACTTAACCAAAATACCATGATTCCATTCTTTTTTTCTAATGGCTTTATTCAAAATCCTAATTTGACTGTTAGCACTCTTAATCCATTTTCGTTTATCGTCATCACTACTGTTATTTTGAAGTTGTTTGAAAGCTTTTTGAAAGATACGTTTGATATTGTTACTCACCGACTCCATTTATGATACACAAATTGAACTTCCTTAATTAAAAATTTCGTTGCTGGATGGAAATTTCCCTCTTCTAGTCCAGTAAACGTAACGGTGTACTTGGCTGCTTCAAATTTGTCGATTTGGGTCTTGAATGCTTCCGTCACCCGGCCTGGCAGAAACACTACGTTTTTCTCCAACTCTAGCAGCACTGACTCCTCGAATTTCCCCTTTGTTATCTTAGCACCCAGTATAAGATGAGGCACGTTGATAGGTAGCTCCCGCAACTTCACTGCTGGCTTCAAGCCTGCAAGTGTTGATGTTTCGTTAATTTTTGTCAAATCCATGTTCTGCAAAGAGAAAATCTCTCTGTAGAGAAACACAGCACTAAAAAACAAATATTGGTAATACTCACATTTGTTTTCACTGCACTGCACATACACTGGTGGTGGATTTCACACGTTCGGCGAACTACTTATTGGAGTATATTGAATTCGAATAACGATAATGCTTGTTTGCAAGCTCTTAAATAGTACCTCAAGGTGTGTGTGTGAATGTGTTTATCATCCTCTAATGCAATAACAAAGCGTTACAGCAAACTGATAAGGTTTACCAACCTTCCGGTTTAAAATTAACTTTGTTGATAACGCGCCGCATTATTAAGCGGTCCATCAACTATACTTTTCTTGAAAGTTAATCATCAACAGAATAAAGAGATCCGTTGTAATTATGTTCATTCAGATATCTTGATTGAGAATGATTTAATTATAATTATTATTATATATATATATATATATATATATATATATAGGTGAAAAATTAAAGCTTCCGCCTTTTGTTGGGTACTTCGACAAGATTTAAGCAAAGAGGACTCTTTATACTTTTTTTAATTCTCTCTAGCTTTCAATGGACTTTGCCATCATCATCAGGAGCTGCAATTACAATGATAACAGTAGCAACAAAGGTGTAAAATGAATTTAAATTGACTCAACTTACAGTAGTATGTGAGGATGTTGCTAATTGTTGTTTACGTATAGGATGAGGGAAACGTCCAGTAATATGGTGAGAGCTGAATAGATTGCACAATAGTCAAAATTTATACAAAACATGACAAGAACAGATTAAAAACAGATTAAAAATTATTTTAAAAAATTAGAGCATTACATCGTGAAACCACCTGATGATTGCACAAATTAGTGGTCATGGAATGATGAATTGATGAGTGACATGAAACCCTTTGACAGAAGGCCGAAGGATGTCAATGTCAGTATTGAAAGATGGAACGAATTGTGGGCGTGTGCCAAAACGTTGCCAAATCACTTCAGATGATGAGATTTTCAGAATTTTATGTTAGAATTTGTTAAACCGACCAGAGGCAGTTGAATGAACTATATTATTATTAATGGGAATTTAAATTAACAATTATTAATAAATCGTGAGGAGAGAATTATTATATTTTGAGTGGAATGAAATTTACTGGTGGAAACGGCCAAAACACAGATTCTAATTATGGTTGTGAAGAGTTGAAATTTGGGGAGATATGTAAGTTCTCCAATTTTTCGCAGTTTAGCAAATATGAGTAAATGACACTCAGTTGTTTAACATCTGTCTTTTTGTTGATACAGTTGTTATTCATGAAAATGTGGGACATTTCCAGGAATAAACGTTTGGAAAGGTGGCTGAACCTACTGATGCAACTATAGGTCTTACTGAGAGTACAGGTTTGTGAATTTTTGGAAGTGCATAAAATTTGGGAGGGACAGAGTTATAAGTAGTCAGTAGGTTCAGCCACCCAGGCTTTGTCTTCATTAATATCGACAACACTAAAATCAGCACATGCAGACAATGATTATTACATCAAAGACTCATTTGAAGTCTCTCGTCAGTTCAATAGATTGACAATACCAGCCGATCATATTATCGCCAGTCTTGATGTGGTGTCGCTATTCAGCAACATCTATCTGGATGCATGTACAAGAACTATTAATAAACACTGGAATGAGATAAGTCAACACTGCAACATATCTCTAGAATCTTTCACCAACATTATAACATTCCTTTTTCATAACAATTATTTCTCTTTCAACAACAAAATATATTCTCAAACACATGGTTGTCCTATGGGATCTGTTCTGTCACCAATTTTGGCGGAATATGTCATGGATGATCTGCTTGATACTGTTATTCCGACACTACCCTATAACCTCTTCTTCATAAAAAAATACGTAGATGACATTATTTTATGCCTCCCTTCCATAGGTCTGGATAGTATTGTCAGAGAATTCAACAGCTATGACCCCTACATCCAATTTACCATTGAAAAAGAAGATGAGAACCTGTCTGTCCCCTTTCTAGACACAAGACTCATTCGCACCAACAACAACAGTTTATTGGTAGACTGGTACCAGAAACCTATGGCCTCAGGTCGGTTTCTCAATTTTAGGTCATACCATAAGCTAGGGATTAAAATCAATTTGGTAAAACAGATGAAAACAAGGGTAATCAGCATCTCAGATAATACCTTCCACACCTCAAATTTACGTAAACTATCAAAACTGTTCATCAATAATGGTTATCCGAAGTGTCTGATTAACAAGATCATTTTTAGCTCACCTTCTAATATTTTGCCGAACTCTGGTGATGCAGGTAATAGTCGCACAACCCCTAATAACGGAACTGATGTAATTCCCAATAATAACATCAATCCTAACAGTACTAGCACCAACCCGGACTCCAGACCTGGTTTTGCTGTCCTGCCCTACATCAAGGAACTGACCCCTAAGCTGATCAGATTGTGCAGTCCTTTGAACTTTCGAATTGCTTGCAAATCCGTCCTCACTATAAACTGCATTTTTTCAAAAATGAAAGACAAAGTCCCGCTGCTTGGCTTAACCAACACAGTCTACTCCATCAATTGCAATAACTGCAACCAAATATACATAGGTCAGACCTCCAGATCTCTTAAAGGAAGGATTACATCACACAAAAGTGATGCTAGGCTTCATCCTGAAAGATGCGCTCTAGCATCTCATGTTAACACAACAGGGCATTCTATGAATTACACAAGTATCAAAGTTCTTGATAAAGAAAAACACCTTTCCAAACGTTTATTCCTGGAAATGTCCCACATTTTCATGAATAACAACTGTATCAACAAAAAGACAGATGTTAAACAACTGAGTGTCATTTACTCATATTTGCTAAACTGCGAAAAATTGGAGAACTTACATATCTCCCCAAATTTCAACTCTTCACAACCATAATTAGAATCTGTGTTTTGGCCGTTTCCACCAGTAAATTTCATTCCACTCAAAATATAATAATTCTCTCCTCACGATTTATTAATAATTGTTAATTTAAATTCCCATTAATAATAATATAGTTTATTCAACTGCCTCTGGTCGGTTTAACAAATTCCAACATAAAATTCTGAAAATCTCATCATCTGAAGTGATTTGGCAACGTTTTGGCACACGCCCACAATTCGTTCCATCTTTCAATACTGACATTGACATCCTTCGGCCTTCTGTCAAAGGGTTTCATGTCACTCATCAATTCATCATTCCATGACCACTAATTTGTGCAATCATCAGGTGGTTTCACGATGTAATGCTCTAATTTTTAAAATAATTTTTAATCTGTTTTTAATCTGTTCTTGTCATGTTTTGTATAAATTTTGACTATTGTGCAATCTATTCAGCTCTCACCATATTACTGGACGTTTCCCTCATCCTATACGTAAACAACAATTAGCAACATCCTCACATACTACTGTAAGTTGAGTCAATTTAAATTCATTTTACACCTTTGTTGCTACTGTTATCATTGTAATTGCAGCTCCTGATGATGATGGCAAAGTCCATTGAAAGCTAGAGAGAATTAAAAAAAGTATAAAGAGTCCTCTTTGCTTAAATCTTGTCGAAGTACCCAACAAAAGGCGGAAGCTTTAATTTTTCACCTAACTGATCTAGACGACAATGACCACGTCTCAAGTTATATATATATATATATATATATATATATATATATATATATAAGCATATCATGTGCAATATATATAATCGGTAATTTGAAAACTCTGGAGCAATGGCTAGAAACATAAAATCTGTAGAAGACGGGTCACTTTGGACGCCCCCCACCACCACTTCCACTTTGGCCACGCCCACCGCGTGCTCTGATTGGCGGATCAGACGGCGGGAAATTTGAACGGGGTTGATGGTATATGTTGATTGGCGGGAACCGCTAGATCCACAGCGTGCTCTGATTGGTGGATAAGACGGTGGGAAATTTTAACGAGGTTGATGGTATATGTTGATTGGCGCTAGATGGCGCAGTGATTCACACACACACACACACACACACACACACACACACACACACACACATACACAGCCACACGCAAACGCACACGCACGCGCACACGCACACGCACACGCACACGCACACGCCCACGCGCACGCACACGCACACACATACACACCGCCATCTTTTTTTTTTAACGCTACCAACCTTTAGACTCAGCCTGTATACAACCTTCTTGACTCCCCCTGTATACACTACACCTCACCTTATACTAATGTTCGAATTTGGTTGAATGTCAATTTTCCAGACAGGTGGTTAGGCCGAGGAGGTCCTATAGCGTGGCCGCCACGTTCACCTAATTCCATTGGATTTCTATTTTTGGGGGTCATTAAAAGACCTAGTACACTCGACTGAAGTAAATACTCAAGAAGATTTACTTCAAAGAATCCATCAGGCTGCAAATGAAATAAGAAGAAAAAGGTTTTCCACTTTTCGGGCTACGCAATCATTAGTTCGTCGAGCGAGACTCTGTATACAACAAAATGAGAATTTATTTGAACACTTATTGTACAGCTAGTTTTAAGTAAATCCAACTGAATGTCTTCTTTTTTAAACAAATTTCAATTTCGTTAGTAGAAAAAATGTATTTCTTTTGTTTTTGCCTAAATGTTAGCTATGTTGCAATAGATATATGTATTTATGTAATATTTACCAATTATTAAATTAGTTTTTTCATTGCCATGGCTAATTATCCAACAATTCATTTAAATTCGCAGTACATTTCCTATCATGTGACAAATTTTTTAGTTTGATTTTATTCAAAAATTGCACAATTTATCGATATTCAATAAGAGTACCTTTTTAATGTAGAAAACCCTAAACTTTCAAATCCTAAAATTGAATTTCAAAAATAGAATCACACAAAAATTTTGGGGCTAAAATAACCTGAGTCCATCCCTGTTACATACGCTTCCAAACAAAACTATCTAAAATTCTTAATATTCTTAAATCCAGCATAAAAAACCAGGCTAGAATACCAAATTTTATGTCTTTATCTCAACACGTTTCGAAAATATTAAGGAAAAACCATCTTCAGGGGAGCCCCTTTAAAAGACCGTAGCGCCATTAGGGGACGTTTGCCGACCTATATTTATATAAACTTTTCTTCCCATTTTATGCTCTAGAAACCGCTGGTAGAATATGTATACAGGGTGTCCGCAAAGTTGGGGTTTTCCTTTTCAGAAACAACTACCCTTGAAGTAACAAAGGTGTGAAACGAGGGCGACCAAGTAAAAAAAAAATAAAGGAAAAAGTACTCACTCTCCAGTTGACGAGAAGGGCTAAGTACGTCTCTGCCTGAAATCATACCGCTCCAACAGAAAATGAAATCAGCTGATGCGCTACCGAGCAGACGCAGGCAAACAAGGAAGGCAAAATGTTGCGTAAAAAGTCTGGGTATTGCATCCCGTCCAATCGATTTGGGAGAATAAATGGTCCAATGAGCATACCGTTCACCATGCCAGCCCAAACATTTACCGAAAATGTTTGTTGAAAATGTGCCCGACGCGTGCGGATTTTCTACTGACCAAACATGAGTGTTGCGAAAGTTATTCACCCCATTACGCGTGAACGTAGATTCGTCTGTCACCAATATACACTTCAAAAAGTCCGGATTATTGTCATGTTGATGCAACAATCACTCACAAAACCGCACTCTTGCTGGAAAATCGTCAGGTTGAAGGGCTTGTACACGTTGGACGTGAAACGGATACAGCCCTTCCGCAGCGTTTGCCACACTTTAGTTTTTGATACTTGCACTTCTCTAGCCACGTCTCTAATGCTTGTTGTTTTTTGAAACGCAATCGATTATACGAGTTCGTTTACCTCTACACGCGTGACCGTAACCGTCGGTTGAAGGTTGCATACTGACCTGACACACTGACCCCGACCCCCGACCCAGTTCTATCGTCGGGTTGAGCTAGTGTCCTAGTACCAGTTGGGGATATCGCGAGTCGCGGCTACAGGACGGTATTCAGATATTTTTGATGTTGCAGAGCCCTTTATCTCCGTTCCCTTAAGACATTGGTGTATAGGGTACTAAGAAAAATTGCTTATGTTTTCAAGATCTACACGTCGTGTAAAGGAAAACCCCAACTTTGCGGACACCCTGTATATATATATATATAGAGATTCTGATGGTTAGGTCCTCCACTTATTGGCTTTTTAGAGTCGATAGGTCCTCGGTTGCGCTAAGTCCTCCGTATATGGAGGACCTATCGCAAATTTCACCAGTCGGCCTGAGGGGCTCCCCTTTGTCACCCGGCAAAATTCCAGAGGGATGACCCAGATCGTGTTTTTTGTTAAATTTTGGTACCGTAGTTCCGGGCTTTGCCGCGCCGATTTGGTGGACTCACAGTCGCGCGGGTATTCAGCCCGTATATTTTCAATCAAGTCTACAGTGGATAGGTCATCTGCCGGGTATTCAGTATCTAGATCGTGGCTTTTAGGTCCTCCTTAATATTGGCATCGCTGTATTAGGCATTTATTAAATGGGGTATTTTCCAAAAAAAAAATTTTTTGTTCCAAATTGAAGTTTTACATCTAAAAATTATATATTGAGTAATTTTACATTTTTCTTTGAACAAGAAGTAACAAAAACTCGGCTTCAAAGTTTAAAAATAAAATTTGCCGCTAACTGTGTGACGTAATAATATCTTGCGTGACGTAGTAATATTTTCTCCGCCCCCTTCTTAGAATGTGACTCTACTTTTTGTTCGGCGATTACAGTGTGAGAAGGACAGGAGATATTCCCATTTTGTTCTACAGACTCGTCCGGAGCAATTTGCTTTTTTGACAGATAATTTAAAGGTTGTAACGCATTCTGCTGTTGTTGTTGACGATTTGGTATTTTGATTTAGTTGAGTAGAGTGGAATTTAGCTTTTTAAATACAGAATTCAAATATGGAACAAAACTTCGTGAAAGCTGATTCTTCGAATTTACCGAAAGTAGATTACGAGATGATCGATTAATACTATCGACACAATGATGACTTTGTCTAAGCAAATGTGAGAAATGTGAAAACACAGAGGTGGGTACTTTTTCGATTGTGAGGAAATATATTTTAATAACCATTTTGTTCCTAGAAGTGGCAAGCAATCGTATGGAGATGAAGCTATCGGATTTGTCCAGCTGTTGCGAGAGGGATCAATATGTACTGTAAAGTGCCAAGTAACTCCCGAACACAAGATCCACGAAAAAGGATACCAGGTGACAATCTGCATTAATGAGGCTGAAGAGAAGATTACACATAGTGTGTGTCATAGCTGCCCAGCTAGTGAAGGTATTGAGTTTAATAATTCCTTGTGTCTTTATAATATACTATATTTTAATTTCTAGGAGGGTGCAAGCATGGTGTATCTCTGATGTTTTGGCTACTACGACGTTCTACAGAACCTTCTGTAACAAGTGTTGAGTGCTACTGGCGAAAACCGACTTTAGCAAAAGTAGGTTCTTCATTGAAAGCAGCAAAATTGAACGAGCTATTTAAGAATGTTCCCCCAGTTGCATCACACAATAATTCCTTCTTAAAAAAACTATTAGAAAAAGGATTAGAAAACAAAAGCAAGGGCATTTTATTTGAATACTACAAAACTGAAGAGAATGCTATTGATAAAGTATCCCTATATCATTTAATAAATAAATTTGTAAGAAACAGTAGCAGCATCACTGCTGAAAATTTTATTCAGTATTGTCAGCAAGAAATGAATGATCAGCCTTGTAAAGAAATTTTAAATCAAACAAAAGATCAATCCAATACTGGTACATGGTTTGAGATAAGGTATGCACATATTACTGCATGGAAGTTTTATGAAGCAGCACAGAGTACAACATATGATGGATGTTTAGTGGAGTCAATTTTGGGTGCAGCAAAATTCAAGTCCACAAAGGCTATGAAGAGGGGATTATCATTAGAGGATAAAGTATTGAAGGTTGTGGCAAGAAAGAAACTAATAAAAGTAGAAAAAGTAGGAATATTTGTAGATAAGAGATATCCTATATTTGGAGCTAGCCCTGATGCTGTAAATGCTGAGTTTTGTATTGAAATAAAGTGCCCATCAAAAGAATCGACACTTAAGCAATACTTAAATGGTGGAGTCATAGGTAAGAAACCTTTTGCCCAAATTCAACTCCAAATGCTATTCTCGGGCAGAAAAAAGGGATTATTTTGTGTTGCATCACCAAATTTTGAAGTGAATAAAGATGTATCAATTGTGGAAGTTGAACTTGACATTTTTTTTGTAAGGATTTGCTGCAAAAAGCAACTTTGTTTTGGGAAAAAGCTATCTTCCCAAAACTGATTCAATAGATCTACTGTAATGTACTCAACTTGTAATGTCAACAATTTACCTGTAGATTTGACTAAAAGACAACTCAATTGTTCGTGTGTATTGAAATATATTTGGTATAAATTTTCATGTATTAGAGCCGTTTTACACACAAGAGAATTACTCCGAAAATTATGGTCATAATTATGCCGAAAATTTGCATGGAAAAAATATTGAAGATTGTCTCTACAACCTGTATGACACCAGCAAACAAAATTTCCGAGTAATTCATATGATACGCCTGCGCATTAGAGTAATATTTTGGAATGGACATAACCTTAACGGGTGTGACATCCAATATAATCGGAAAGACAACAGACGTCGTTGATTTACATTTATGAAATCGAGATCTTGGTTAATATTATAAAAAATGAATTTGAGTCAATCTGATTTACTCTTAACTGCTGCAGTGACTTGTTGTGTCTTAATATACCAGTTAACCAAAAACAAATTAGGTAGTAGAAAAAGATCTCAGTGGACAAAAAAGTGGCTGCAGAGAAAAAAGGGTAGAGGTACTTTAGCTCTTTTAAACAGGGAGCTACGAGTAGAGGATACGAATGCTTATAGAAATTTTCTTCGCCTTGATGATACTCAATTTGATTACCTGTTAGCATTGGTCGAACCTCATATAAAAAAGGAAGACACTTTCATGAGAGAAAGCATAAGTGCCCAACACAGGTAGTAAGATAGCAATAATTATTTGTTTTTGTTTATTATACAACACATTCATAAAGCCTGTATAGTTTTGATTTGGCATCATATAAATTTGGACAATTGAATTTACTTTTGACCTATGTATATATAGCTAATGGGACTTATTGTTTTTAGGCTTGATGTCACATTGCGTTTCTTGGCTACTGGTGAAACATATAGAAGTCTCATGTACAGCACAAGAATTCATGAGAGCACAATTTCTAAAATTGTTCCAGAAACATGCTTAGCATTATGTAGATGTTTGAAAGATGTTTATTTGAAGGTATTTCAATTCACTATGATTTCTATAACTAGATCATTTAACTGTTACTTAAATCGTAGAATCCAACTACAGATGATTGGTTGAAAGTTGCTGCAGATTTCCAAAGCAAGTGGAATTTTCCAAATTGTCTTGGAGCATTAGATGGCCGCCACATAGCTTTTAGCCCACCTACATCTGCTGGATCATATTACCACAATTACAAAGGCACAGACAGTATGGTTTTACTAGCTTTAGTAGATGCCAATTACAAATTTATCTATGTGAATATTGGTGTTAATGGCCGAATTAGTGATGGGGGGGTCTTCAGTGCTTGTGGACTTTATAAAAGAATGCAAAACAAGACACTTAATCTGCCACCAGACAGAGCTCTTCCTGGTAGGACAAATAAAGTGCCTTATGTTTTTATAGCTGATGAAGCATTCCCATTATCTAATCATTTGATGAAACCCTTCCCACAACGTTCATTGACATATGATAATAGAATTTACAATTACCGTCTGTCAAGAGCTAGACGAATGGTGGAGTGTGGCTTTGGAATACTAGCAAACAGATGGAGAGTTCTATTACAAAAAATACACTTGGGACCAGAAAAAGTTGAACTCATAACATTAACCTGTGTACTTTTACATAACTTTTTAGTTAAAGAGAATGCTATGTACACTACTGAAGGCACGTATGACATTGATCCATCCCAACTGTTACCTCAAATTTCACAGCAGATTGGGAATCGATCAGGAAATTCTGCGAGATCAATCAGAGAAGAATTTAGGGATTATTTCAATTCAACATCTGGATCTGTGCCATGGCAAGACACAGGTTTACAAAGGAACATTTCATGAAATATTGAGTCAAATAATTATTTCTATTATTGTACCGTATTGTATACAGAAATAAAATAATGAAGTATCCATTTAATGCTCTTTAATTGAAAAACATCATTTCCTGCACCTTCGCAGGGCAGTATTTAATACATTTACAATTTCAGCTTCAACCTCATCTCTTATCTCACTGTCCGTTATTCAGTCAAGCTTTGAGGCAACATATTCCCCAAAGATCTGGTTAGAGGATTACTCCCTGGTTTGTCCCAGTCTTTGGGAAATATGTTGCAAGGTACTTTTGACCTCCCCCATAACATCTGTATCCTCTTCTTTCCTTTTCCTTTTTTTGGGGGCACTTGTCATGCTCACCCTTGAAGAGCTTCTAGAGTGGCTTGGCGTGCTGATATGCTCCAAAGCCCCTGATGGTGATACTGCCGCCGAGAGCACCTCCTCTGCTAAGGCATCCTCATCATCTGCTTGTTCAATCTGAAATGAACAGGTAGTAATATAGAATAAAGTTTTCTAGTTTTGGCAAAATAGGTATAAATATATATTTACATTAAATTAATGCTTGATTAGATTTGGATATGAAAAATCATGAAACAGTAAAAAGAATGAAGGTAATGACCAGTTTCATGACAATGTAACACCAGCTTGTACTTGGCATGTTATTTGTTACATAAATAATATGGAGTACATGGTCATAGGTCCATTCTGTTATCATAAATGCAAAAGTATTGATGACTGTTCAGCAAAGCTCAAGTGTACTTTTAGGTTTAGACAAAATCACTGTTGAATTCAGATTTAAGTGAAATTTGGGCTTTGGCCATAGTGAAATATGCAACACAACATCGGCACTTACCAATGTTATATCTTGTTCTTGAACATCTTCGCTTTCCAAAGAATCGAATGCTCCTCTTTCTTCACTATTGTCAAACACATAGCCAATCAAATTATGATACCACAGTGATGGCTCCGTGATCTGTGAAAAATATTACTTTTAACACTCAATCAGATACATAATGGAAGAGAAATATGCAAACATATAGAAAAAACTTACATCATCTGAACCAGCGCCACTTCTTTGCGATTCCAAACATTTTCGCCTCTCCTTGCTGGCATTTTGTTTCAAAGCTTGAAACTTTGCTTGTACATCCTGTGCTGTCACGTTAGGTTTCAAACTTCTCAATGCTTGGACTACCGCATCCAGCGCCTGACGCCGCAAATTTCTATTTTTGTAATTGGCTGACTTCACCTTGTACAGGTTTGGCCATTTTTGGTACTCCTCCAACAACAGTGTAACTTCTTCCCGATTCCACGACATTATGAATAAACAATAAACATAAACGCTTCTTCGTACGACTCGAACAGGACCACTCCAACAAATGTTAAGTGAGGTTATGTTGTTGTTGTTGTCGTTGACATTTGATATTGACATGCACGGAAACAACCCTCTGCGCCGATTCTCGCGCATATAATATAGAACGGGTTTTATATTTTTACCATGAAAATTTTCACAAGAATTCTTTTACGTGTAATACGACAGCAAAAATTTTCGGCATAATTATGACCATAATTTTCGGAGTAATTCTCTTGTGTGTAAAACGGCTCTTAGATTTTATATAAATGTATCAAAGTTTATTATACTAATATTTTCAATACCTACTTTTAAATTCTTATTATCTTCAAATTTGATTTATAATAAATTGATTTAGTAACTGAATTAATCAGTTAACAATGTATACACTACAACATACACTTAATGGTACCAAGATTTGGGCCCATATATAAGATAGAAAAATGTATTTTGAACCAGACAACACCAGGTTTAGTTGCTAGTTTATTCTATTCAGGTATCATCAGAAAATGTATGATTAATATTTGCAAACTGTGATACATTATGCAAATGTATTTAGTCTATATTATGCATATATTCTTGTCCAATTTATTTTATGTGTTTATTTGATTGAATAAAGCACTTATAATGTTTTAAAAAAGTATTTTATTCATGAAATGTTTTTTTAACTATTTACATTAGTAGGTAGCTGCAAATGTTTTATTGTATTTGTAGATGAACAAAAATATTGATATATACCACCAGCTGACCAGCTAAAATAATCCTGAATTCCATAACATTGTTGATCTAATAAGCTTATCAAAAATTTAATACACAAAGTATACACTTTACTAAATAATTAGTTATTTTTATGTCATAGAGTGTTGGTAAATTCGAGTAATTTATTTATTTTGAGGTTTCTAAATGATAATGTGTTGTAAAGGAGAATAAAAAATTACAGATACTCCAAAAAATTATATAAAGAACAGCCTCAAATAAGTCCTATACAAGTATTTTAGCCTACAAAAGGAAAAATTGGTGTTTTACAAAATTATTCATACTTAGCTTTATGTATGTGCACAATGTGTAGCTAAGAAATTCACTGTGTTAGTATTAATATACCACAAAACAATCTTGCACTTGCAGTTATGTACTATTAAAATATAGAAAAAACAAGACTTGCATGGCAATAATACTTATTTCTTGATGAGCCATTCTTGTAAATTTACTAAACCACACACAATGATCACCACATGGTCTAGGAGGTGGACTATTCTGGACCGTATACAGGCATGTGGTTTTAACATAGCAAATTCACGGAGTCTCCTTATGAGCCGTTCAATATGAACTCTCAAAGCAGCTATTATTTTAGTTTTATTAACTTCTGCTTTGGTGAGTTTTTGTTTCGCACTAATGCTTGGAGGTCTTAATAATGATGCGCTTTTTTTATGCAGTATAGTTTCTATGTGTTTGAAACCTCTATCTGCCATTATTATGCAGTTTTCTGGTATCACATTAATGAAGTCTGACTTCTCAACAATTTGTACATCAGTTGTACGTCCTCCAAACCCACTAGAAATAAAGTTTATCAGCCCATTAGGAGTACAACTCACAAGATACTTTATAGTATTACACTTTTTATATTTTCTCCATGTTTTAGCCTGATCCAGTGCATTTGAAGGTTTTTCAATTTCAACTTCAAAGCAATCAATAATTGATTGTACATTGTTGTAATAGGCTTTAAATTGATTTGGTACTAATTTTTTGATTTTCCAACTGGGAGGCCAAACAATCAACTGTGTCATTAAAGGAGCCATTACTACAACAGTTTTATTAAAAATTTTAGATATGGCACTTGTGCTTTTACCAAAATCAATTCCTATTCTTGAAAACTGATCATTTGTCCTAATTTTTTTCATTGTGATCAAAACATCAATGTAATCCAGTCCACCTTCTTCAACTAATAAATTTACAATATAGAAACAGTCTTCAGGCAAACCTAAGAAAAACCGACTATTGTTCTCTAATTTAGATATTTCTAGTTCCTCTTTTGATGTCTTCAGTCTTGCTCCATTGCTTTCTGATGAAGTGCTCGATAGCTGCAGGGAGGAACTACCACTTGAGCCATTAGTGCTATCACTACAAATCCCTGTGCACTTTTCAACCAACTGTTTTCGTTTGGGATGACTAGTGGCAACAGCCTTTTCTGCAGTATGAGGTAGTGTGCTGGTTGACACTGTTTTCGTATCAACTAAAACTTGGACTCCTTTGGTTGCTTTCTTCAGGGGTAGCAAACTCGAGTTTTGCTGGCAAGATTCATCATGATGCAGATCTCTGCATATACCTGGCTGCGATTCATCAAATAATTTTGCCCTTGGTTTTCTCTTGCAGTGAAGCTTTTTTCCTAATGTTTCTAACATCTCAGCTTTCCTCTTTTTTGATGGTGGACCTAATTGGGACGTACCTAAACTCTGAACTGACAGGTTCCTGTGTGGTTTCACGCCGGGTTTTAGTCGTAACCTCTGCCCAATTGTCTTGTAATATTGCCAATTTTCTGCATCATCTGCCAACTGAAAGTAAACCGAGATTTAATATAATATGAAAAACTTTAGCTCTGTTAATAAACTTACATCAAAATGATCTTCACAACAGTATAACATAGTGGTAGGAATGGGACCTTCAACACTTGCAGCCTGGTACCAAAGAATCCTCGTGTCAAGATCTAACGGAACTGATAAGAATATTTTATCAGGCGAATTAATACTTGTGTTTGAACACACTTTAATCAGACACTTTTTTACGGACATTTTGTTGTTCAAAAGAATTCAAAATATAATATTATAAAGGTTACAAAACGGATAACACAAAATCAACAGCACGAAACACGGTACGCAACTCTGTCACTGTAAAAAGTCAACGGTTTGACCCTCGTGGAACCACAATGTTGCCAAGTTATGTCGACCTACAGCTATACATACATAATATAGACAGGTACACCATTGAGACAACACTGTTGATCCGAATAAAGAAGCGTTGCTAAGTCGTGAACTTTCATGAAATTCCCTAGTGCATGGCAATAGCGCTGATGCTTATCCTTCATAAAAATATCGTCACATTCTAATGAGAACCTTTAAAAAAATCGATTCCTATTGGCTGATTTTTTCGGAGGGACAAACATGAAGTTTAAATGAACCCACTTTGGTGGTATAAATTTCAAATGTATTTTTTTCAGCAAATGAGTGAAAAAAGCGCGTGCAAAGTGTATACCAATTGATAAATGGTGTAAACAATCGATTTCAGCCATCAATAGGACAATATCACCAAGTTGGAAAATACCCCATTGTTTTGCAAGAGGATTGGATTTTCATCTTCCTATGTCTGCTACGGCCCAGTTCGCCGTCAAGTATTACACACGAGCGGCCGTGACCGGGAGTACCGTAATGCAGCGATGATATTTGTTCGAATGTAATGCTCAAATCCAATATTCTATGGAATAAAATGAAAGATGTTATTTTTGTTTTACGATTTAAGACAGATGCCTTTACTTACCGCGCCTATTGACAGGAATTATTGTAATCATAAAAAATCTGCTTTAGGTTGCTGTTATGCCATGCACAAAGAACCTTGAATATTCTCGGAAATCGGTGAAGTAACAGCAGAGTGGTTAAGAAACGAAGAAAAAAATGGTCAAACTTCGCTTCCGGATGTTTCAGACATTCCTCCAAGAAAGTTTTAGGCCTTTAAATTTTGGTGGCGGGGGTTACGGGCGGCGGAGCTAGTATTAAACAACGACAAAACTAAAAATCATTTTAAGTATGTCTGAATATTTTCCGATTAATTTTTGGGGGTAGGGGGGCTGAGGGAATGAGGTGAATCTGGATTTGGCGAGGTGTTAGTTAAGGTATTCTATTTTCAATAAATCTTCAGATCGACTTCCTGAACATCAATCACCCCGCTTCAGAGGTAGTTCTTATCGGTGATTTTAATGCCCATAATGAGCTTTGGTTATTATTATTATTATTATTACACACAACAAATTTGAGTTGAGTACAAGTACTATAAACTCAAACACAAAAATAGATAATAGTGTACAGACAAAAGAAATATAACAATTTGACAATCTAAGCACTTCTGAAGTAGACATATACAGAATGGGAACAATATGTTAAGCACTGCGGTGTCTATCGTAATTGTATTTGAAACTGTTGACGGATTCCGAGTTCACTACATAAGATGGAAGACTGTTCCATGCATCGAAGACACGGTTTGAGATGAAGCGCTGACGAGTAGAGGTTCTAAAAGCTTCCTTCTGCAATTTGAAGTTATGGCCTCTGAGACTGTTCATTGCCAGACGAAACAGATGCGACATGTCCACACCAAACAAATTATGCAATGCTCTGAAAGTGATGATGAGATCTCCTCGTACTCTTCTATCAGCAAAAGCAGGCAGGTTATATAGCTCGAGGCGGTCTTCATAACTTGGCCTACGTGTGCCATATGGCATACGTGTAGCACGACGCTGAACGGCCTCTAATAAGCTGCTATCGCGAACACGGTTTAAATCCCATACCGGACCAGCAAACTCCAGTAGGGGTCGTACAAAAGTTGTGTACAAAAAGGAGGAGGTACTAACGGTGCAACTGCTAAATGACCTTTCCATCATAATATAGCAACCGCTTTGCCTTAGAGGTTATGTTCTGAATATGCTCCGACCAGGTGAGCCGGCCATTAACTGTCAGACCAAGATCTGTGTGATAAAGAACAGTCTCTAAGGTATGTTTGCCAATCTTATATGTTAAGTTAGGATTATTCTTTCCCAGGTGGAGAACGTAGCATTTCGATAGATTTAAAGGCAGGAGCCAGAGTTCTGACCACTTTCTGATCAGCTTGAGGTCTTCTTGAAGCACAGATGAGTTCATGACAGTGTTATAGACTTTAGTATCATCTGTTGGGCTCAAACAAGACCGATGCAGCAGGTCGTGCAGTCGAAGCGCTCGCTCCTACTCAAGGGCTGACCCAGCTGGTGACGAGCCCTACTTTTTCCCCCGCGTCTCGTCACACGTCATTAGCCTTCTGGATCTCTGTCTGCCACGCATCCTATCCCTTACAGCACTGCTGTCCTGTCCCCCTTGGTTAACTCAGACCACGGTGTTGTGGAGGTTAGATTTCGGTCACAACTCGCTGTGGCAGCAGAAACTACTACAGGCCGCAAAACTTGACATTACGGACATGCCGACCTGGGAGGGGCTCAAAGACTTCTTCTCTAACTTTCCTTGGAGAGATGTTTGTTCCACTGACGCGGGTGTGTCGGCTGTCTGTTCTTCGATAACAGAAATTATCCACGTCGGAATGGAGGAATACATCCCTCACACAGTGAAAGTGCCTAAACCAGGGTCCAATGGCTGGTTTAACAAATCGTATGACACTGCTCGCCAGCAGAAGATCAAGGCACACAAAACCTGCTTACAAAACCCCACTGTAGAGAACAGACAAGCCGGCGTCGAGTCCAGAAACAAATATAACGAAGCAGTTCGCAATGCCAAAAACCAGCACGATATAAAATTTAGGCACAGGGTAATGTCGCAGCGCAATGTCAGTCGGTCTTTCTGGACGCTGGCCAAGCTGATTGAAAAGAACTTGTCACACAGTAGTAGCCTTCCACCACTTACGTGTCAGGATGGAACTACTGTATTCGACTCAAAGGCCCAAGATCTTTGCTGCCAACTCCACCATGGACGCTCCCCAGCAAAGCTTCTGGTCCGAACTTGATTGTACTGAAGAGGTGTGCAGCGGAGCTTGCTCCAGTTCTTTCGCGTCTCTTCCAGATATCTTATGAATCCAGAAAACTGTAAATTTGCTCATGTCCAACCCATCCCAAAAAAAGCATCTGAAACCGACCCTTACAACTGCAGGCCTATAGCTCTGCTTTCTGTTATAAATAAGGTGATGAGAGGTGCATAAATCGTGAGTTTCTGGACTATCTCGAATGTCTCGACTTGAGTAGCAACAGGCAGTATGGTTTCCGGCACCAACGATCCACAGGGGACCTCCTAGCTTACGTCACGCAATTGGGAAGTAAACTCATCCAGTCTTATGGTGAGGCTCATGTCGTTGCTCTTGACATCACGAAAGCGTTCGATCAGCTGTGGCACCCTGCCCTCTTAAGCAAACTTCCATCCTATGGCCTCCCAGAAAAGCTTTGCAGATGGGTGGCTGACTTTATCTCTGGCCGCAAGATATCCTTAGTAATTGACGGGTTCTCCTCTTCATACCCACAACGTCAACGCGGGTGTTCCTTAGGGATCGGTCTTGGCTCCGACAGTTTCTCTTACATATCCACGACCTCCTTTCCTGCACGATCAACCCAATCCACAGCTTCGCTGATGACAGCACTCTACATGCAGGAATTCAGAGTGACAAGCCGATCTCTGCCGCTGAGCTGGAAAAAAGAATACTAGCGAGGACTCCCTCTCTGACAAGAGACCTGGAGGCCATCACTGCTTGGGGACGCGGGACGCAACAATCTTGTACAGTTCAATGCTTCCAAAACACAGTACTGTACTTTGACGAACCAAAAAGCGTCGTAGCGCTCATCCGGTTCCGATGGATGGCCGAGTTCTGCCAAAGAGCCATCCATTTCGGCTGGTCGGGCCCAGATCACCGAAGACCTGATCTGGCACGAACACGTCTCGTCAATAGCTGCAGCTGCTGGGAAAAAGCTAGGCTATTTGTTTAGGGCTAAGAAGTACTTTTCTCCGCACGATCTTCCCATTCTATACAAGGCCCAGATAAGGCCTAGCCTCGAGTATTGCTCACACGTTTGGGGTGCTGCCGCCCCGACTACATTTTCCATGCTCGATGCTGTCCAAAGGAGGGCGGTCCGACTGATCGATGACTCTTCTCTAAAAGACAGTCTCGGGACTCTTTCGCACCGGCGGGCCAACGGCGATCTAGCTCTTTTCTACCGGTATACTAACGGGCTTTGCTCCGCAGAGCTCTCTTCCATGATGCCACCGCGCGATGTGCCTGCCAGACAGACCCGTCCGACTTTGGCGTCCCATCCTAACCGTGTCGAACTTCGTACATCCAAAACTGGCCGATACGGCCGCTCCTTTGTCCCGAGGGTGTCGAGATTGTGGAACAATCTACAAGAGTAGTTCTACTAACCTTAGGCAGTTCAAAAATCGTATTTTCAAAATTTCTTTGGGATCATCATAGCAGCCGCGGTGTTCCGGCATTTAGGCTTCTGCCTGCGCGGCTGCTTCGATATAAAAAACAAAAAAAAACTTTGATATTCGTTATCCTCCGGAATCTTCATGCATACATGAGACATCTGAATTCAAAATAGAAAATTAGGATAAAGGCTTTATCTCATTTTATGTCTATATATATATGTATGTAAAATACATATATTTTGCTTCGAAAACGACAAGCATACGGTTATAGGAGCGAAGGATACACCCAAAAAATATCAGATTAAATTTTAGTTACGAAGGTAATCATACATAACTGAATATATAATGTTGAAAAAATAAAACCACTAATACCAGAACAGAAGGTTTGGGATCTACCATACTGAAGATTCAGAAAAAACTAATGACATTCGTCAGCTTTAATTTAAAATTACTTCATTTTTCAAGCAACAACGGCTTTACAATGAGATGAAGGGAATTCTGTTTATAAACGTAAATTTTATCACAAAAGTATGACAATGTTCCAACACTTAACAAAATAATTGTCATTAAGATTCTAATATTCGTTGAGTCATGACATCAGCTTTTCAACCCGTAAATAACAGTTTATTCCATAATTCATCATTTTCCAATCGCTTTCCACTGAAAAATTTCTTAACGTTTGGGAAAGTTAGAAATCATTTTCGAGTCAATGGATTAGTTCAGAATGCCGTGCCATAC